GCAAAAGAAGTTCAACATACATTCATCACCAACAGGACACATGTCTCTCTCCTACGACTGTTGAGCTATTGCTGATTTGAGAATTTGTTCAGTTTGTTCACCAGCGCCACTTGCTCACCCATGTTATGTTTTCTCTGTGCGCCGCGTTGGTGCGGGCAGAGCTGCACGTTCGGATACCACGCCGGCGGCTGGGGCAAACCGCCCGTGGACGAGATGGGCCGCCCGCTCTACGGTGACGTGTTCGGTGTGAGCGCACAGGACTTCCAGGTACCCCGCTCGCTCGGCCCTACGGGAGGTTGCACCCATCGCCGCACGCTCACTCCCATTGTTACCAACTTAGGGACTTAGTCTGGCGATGTTTTGTGTTTCCCGAATGATCACGGTTTTGTCCAAGTGGCTTTAGAGAGATCTTGCAGCTTTCTCGCACGAGGACATTTCGGAGATTTTTTTTTATTGATTCCAGGTCTACATTTAGGATTCTGTATCAGTTACTCTATTCTTGGATCTTTCGGTCAAGTCACGTAGAGAGTTTACCCCCTCACGCTCGCGCTGACTCGACGCTGTAACCCTGTTGCGGCGAGTAGGAGAAGGCGGAGGAGGAGGACATGGACCGCACCCCCTGGGGAGAACTGGAGGCCTCTGATGAGGAAGAATCTTCAGAGGAGGAGGAAGAGAGCGAGGATGAGGCGCCAGACGCATCCGGCCTCATCACGCCCGCTGACAGGTATGAGAAACTTCTTTAGCGGCGCATCGTTACGATGGTGAGCCAGCTGCTTTGATCCTCGCGTCCTGGCATCCGTTTCTGGCCCCTTGTATAACGCTCTGCCTTGTGTCATCGTCCCTTTCGCCCCACCCCCCATCTTTTTCTGTGCAGCGGCCTCGTGACGCCTGGCGGTTTTGCATCTGTGCCGACCGGCATGGAGACACCGGACATGATCGAGCTGAGGAAAAAGAAGATTGAGGAGCTCATGGATGGGTAAGGAGAGCTGCATTTGCAAGGATATTGTTAGTTTTGGTTTTTGCCCTAGTTTTATCAGCGTTATGCGACAAAAAAAGTATCCATTTGGAACTCTCACAGAGAAGTGCAACGCTTGATGCGACAGAACAGTCCGTGGAAGTGCATATTACAGAGTTACTACCTCTGACATCCTATCACGTGACCTCTGGTCCACACATTAGGAGGCAGCACTTCTACCCCACCCCGCCACCGAGTGTATTGTTTGTCGCATGAGAATCAGAAATATATTTTGAATTCCTAGAGCCATAATTCAGCCAAATTATGTGTAGCATCGAATTCAAAGCAATCGGTTTTCTGTCCAGTCACTGGTGGCTAGGCTGAGGCAATTACAGGCCAGCTCCGCGCTACGATGTCCGAGCGACCTAGCCACCTCCGTTTTGCTTGAAATTTTAGCAGTGAACACCTTCGCCGTTGGGCGTCTGGCGGACGTGCGCACGTTAATGCTTCGTCACTCTCGCGCCACGTAACGTTTGTTTCTCCCGACTCGGCGTTTGTGTGACGCAGTGGGGATACACCGCAGCAGCTCTTCATCCCGCTGCCCGAAAAGAGAATTGGCGTTGGCGCTGCCATGATGGGTTCCGCGCACATCTACGACATGTCAACGGTGGGGAACCCGCACGGCACAGCCACAGCTGTCCATCGCTGCATCATTACCTCTCGTTGTATGAGCACAGTCGAAGCGTGTTATATAAGCACACAATTATTTCACCACAGAATCACAATATTTATACTGGGGGAATCCGATGTGCTATAAAGCACTTTTTCACAGATGTCCAGTAGGGGTCGGTCAGAACATTACAACAACAAACAATACAAAACACACAATAGGAGTGTAAAGTATAGGAAAGGTAAACAGAATTACTTGAAAAATTTATATTACCAGGTAAAGCCCACTGAGCTTATTTATCAGAAGCGACTTGGCCACAAATTATAGCTCAACAAAGTGGCTTATCACGTGGAAATTTATAGCAGAAAAATAATCCGTTTCGATCTCAGCAACACACACCCTACACTATACTGGTGGGCGAATGACAAGGAATATCTTAGCATGCTAAGGGGGAGTGTTTATATCCAGCTGCTATACTATAAAGTAATTGGTCTTATTAAACACAAAAGGGGTTGTTAAACGAGTGTGTAAAAACTTGTTAAAATACCACCTTAAGTAAGAGGTGCCGACAGAATCAGCTGTTATAGATGCAGAGCCAAGGTTTATACAGATAGCGGCCTTCACGGCGATGTCACGTGCCACAATGGCACACTTAACTGTAGCGTCTTCAAAGTCCATTTACTCATAAACAACACCTCACAATTGCGTCAGTCTTACCACACGCACAGTTTAGCTATGCATCCACAAGGTAATACCCGTCTGGTTTTTTTGGGTTGGGCCTATTTCTGATCCTCGTTAAACCAGCAGTTCCGAAATGATGTTTTTAAATTGGCGCGTAAGCGCTTTAGGTCTTTACCATTACAATAGCTTCATCATCTCATATCGCCTCTTCGTTCCAGTGCAGTGCCTCTGTGCGCGATGCCTTTAAGATGCTTCATAAACCCAAGTTGCATTCTACGAGCCCTTTATTAACCGAGAGCACCATGACTGAGCGTGCGCGGGCCTTTGCCAAAAATTGGTCTTCATTGATCTACATTGGTACAGTGGTCATGTAATGACTTAAAATATGGAAAATGTTTAGAAATTGTAATTGGAATTCTTCACCGGCAACACTTAACTATAAGTGAACACGGCAACTTGGACATTAAGGACAGGGTGACCTTCTGTCTACAAAACAATAGAATTGTGCGGCAACTATTGGCAGTGATGACCTTAATCCAGGGATGTAGAACTTTTTCCTTACCGAGTACCAAATAGGATTTTCAAATACTATTGGAGGGCCACACTTTACTTGACACTCTAAACTGTTTTGTTTGCGTCCCATTTCTAAGTCGCAGATCTTGTCGGTTCTCCCCACCACTGTCTTGAGCCATCATCGTTAAGCAACCGCTCAAGTCTCGCCAAATCCCAGGTGTTAACATCGTGGCGCCCGCCCCTTCGATTACCCCCACAGGTGACTGGACGCAAGGGCCTCGTTGGCACGGGGCCTGGAGGCATCGGTGTTGCCGGTGGCGGCGGTGGCATTGGTGGAGGCGGCGGAGGTGGCGGTGGAGGCGCAGGAGAGTCACAGGGCGTGGAGGTGGCGCTGGCGCCCGAGGAGCTGGAGCTGGACCCGACGGCGATGACGGCCAAGTACGAGGAGCGCGTGCGGGAGCAGCAGGCCCAGGTGGAGAAGGAGGACTTCAGCGACATGGTGGCAGAACATGCTGCCAAGCAGAAGGTGAGAGAGCGGCACGTGTGGTTGCATGCCTTGAGTGGTTAATGTGGTGCATGCGGTTCATGTAGGCGGATGCAGGAAATGGAGGAAAAACTACAAATGACAAGTGGCCACAAAGTGGTGACCTTTTTATTGACACCCACCATGTGGCATAATGTGCTGTGATTGTGCTTAGCACTCTGCCGCAGCCAATCTGTTCCTGGTAAATTTGGCACGTTGGATTTTCCATGAATTGACTGTGGTATAATTTTTCTCATCAGTGACCCTCTTACCTGTTCTTGTTTCCTCTGTCCACAGCAAAAGAAACGCAAGGCCCAAGCCCAGGATGCTAACAAGAGCGCCAAGAAGTACAAGGAGTTCAAGTTCTGATGGCAGCTGGCTTCAGTGGATCCCAGTATTTGCTGTTGTCGTCTTTACACACATTTTATTTCTGTGTCAGTCTGGCCCATGCGGACCACAGCAAGGCTGTTTCCTCAGTGCATTTGTCTAAAAATAAAAACCATTCTGAATATTTGTTTTACAGCCCTAATGTTACCAGTGTTTGTCATACATGGTTCTACCACTTGGCTTTCCATGGCTGCCAATAGTTGTTCGTGTACAAATACATTGTGTTTGTTTGCCAGGTAAACCCAGTCCTTGTGACCCACCAGTCACCTTTCCACTTTTATTAAATTTCTTCCCAATGCAAATAAAGGTTTTGGTGGTAAACATCCAACACCTGATGTAGAGCATGAAATGGGTGTCAATTATAAACACCATCAGGTTGGATGTGAACCAATCAATTGCATGTAGTGTGCAACCTATATTGATTTTTAATGGGGCATAATGGTAAACATGGAAAGGTGACTTAACTGGATTTTGGGAAGTGCTTAGTTTATACATTTGATTCTTATGGCCGTACCCCAGGGTACCAAATAATACAAAATGGCCGAGACAAAATAGTTTTTTTCTGGTACACTATTTTTTCCAGGGGTGTATTTAACTCCTGTGTCTGGGGTACCAATCAATCCAAAATCAGTGCTACTCTGCCATGTATAAACGCAGCCAGGACGATTGCTCCGAAACCCTGAACGCTCGTACGTACCATAGTGCATCGTGTACAGCGCGTCGAGATGAGTCGATTGCCTCATCGCCGACCATCACGAGACTAAAAATTACTGCATCACGGACATTGAGAGAGCTGGGGTACGCCATAAGATTAATTTAGTCTACTCATCAGAATCATTGACATTTGGGACAAATTAAAGGTGATGGGGTTGGATGTGAGTGCTATGATGTGGCTTGTCTGCGAGTTTACTTGCATCAGTCAACATCACTTTGTACGTACGAACGTCAATGGCTTTTGAAAATTCATGGCCAAATAACTTCATAAAACCGCACATGACGAACAAAACTGGATTCCAAGGGCAGGGAACAGTTTTCCTGGCCGTGTCCGCTATCAAAATATTTTTAATGTAAAGAGACGAGTTATAAATTTTCATTATCCGCCCACGTTTCCCCCATAGGGTGCAAAATTCCTGCCAGTCTTGGAGCGCTGTAATCCATTGGGATGGTCAAGCAGCCTCCATTTAGAGCAAGTCGTGGGTGTTTGTGCGTGCGCGATTGTTTTTTTTAGTTCATTTCCCAAGTGTTGTACACAATAAAATTCACATCAGAAAACATTCATATTTTGCCTTTTAAGGATTTATTTTTACATGCTTTTACACTTGACTTGTATGAAGACGTGTCACAGTTCGGGTATTTCTTACAGAAGCAGTATTACTATTTACAGTTGAATAGGCTGTAAAAATTCCACTGACTGTTACAGAATTCAAATAATTTCAAGTTTATATAATCGATTTCCCATTGAGCTCAAACACTGTAAACACACGACTTAATGCTTTACTACGCGTAATTCCACTTGGCGCAGCGCAAATGCATTCGCATGGCGCAGCAGTTTTCTATGCACCCGTTGGGGTTCACTGTAAATTAGGCCGACCCATGCCTGTAGGCAGCGCCGCTACTGGAATGCAGTCTCTCAAGGCTAAGAAATGTCACCCATCTTCAAAAGACATTCTCTTTCCCAATAGGAGGCAGAGCCCCAGAGCTGGCTTTTTAACACGAGGTAGACGTTGGTCAGCAAGTGGGCAACAGTTGGCCTCAGTCACATTTGCCCAGGCCGCAAGTTCTCCACTGGCAGGTAGTTCGTGCCAGGCGCGTGGCGGCATGTTGGACCATTTACGGCGCAAACACCGTCAGCAACGACGGCTGATGCGCCGCCGAGTGCTGTGGGCGTACTATCACCGGCCCCCGTTGTGCTGCCGTTGACTGGCGTGCTGAAGGCGACCGGTTTGTCACTGCCGGACGGTGTGCCAACATTGCTAGCTCCTGGTATGCTCTTAGTCGGCGTTGTGCTGTCGGTGGGGTCCAAGTGCAGCAGCATCAGCTTGTCGTGGTTGTGCGTGACGGACCAGTTGGGTGGCAGATGGCACGGGAGCATTGTGTCCAGGAAGTGCTGGCGCCAGCGGCGCTCCAGGGAGGCGAGGGCGGGTAGCCCCTGGTGCATGTACGCCTGCACCACACGCAGCCCGTGCGGCACGTGCTGCCCGTTCACCACCCTGAGGGTGCGGCGCAGGAGGTGGCCAGAGACAGCATTATGAGAGATGTCGCCAACCAGTTAGAAATATCACAAGATAGTTCCACAATCCCACTTCCACCCCCTTCCTCTCCATCTCAGTGTATGGGTATTTAGTTAGAAACCAGTCAGGTTCAGTTTTAATCCCAATTGAGGATTGACTTAGCCCATCATCCGTCTACAGTCAAAAAAATAGTACCACTAGGGAGGGAGGTCAAGTGGGTATACTTTTCCCCATCATAGTAACGTGGAATTTCCATCATTGGCTCAAAGCGATAATGAGGAATAACTGCGTCAATGCCCAATTGTGCAGGAATTAACTTCACTTTACTTCAGCCAAAAAAGGGAAAGATAGTGGCGATAGCTTCTTGTGAGCACCACCATAATATGCAGTTTTACGTCACACCCAAGTCTCCCCTAGCCGCATCTATGGCTGTATAAGCACTGAGAGATGCAAGCATGGAATTCAATTGAGACAGGAACATGCATTAAGATAAGATACGCAAGTTAAATATTGACAGTTAAGAAGTGGGCTTATAAAGATCTAAATGGCCGGTGAGCGAGAATAACAGCATGGCAAAAGATTAAATCTGCTTGGAGTGGCCTTCATCCAGCAGCGGATTAATCATGGCCGTGATGACCCGACCTCAAACTAACTCCCCTTTCCACCCGAGCGCGTGTACCTGGTCTCCAATTTGGCGGCCTCCTGCAGCAGCTGGTGGCAGCTGCCGAGGGGGCTCCAGCGCTCGGCGTAGAAGCTGCGGACACAGCCAAGCAGCTCGCGACGCCGGTGCGGGGGCAGCGCCGAACCCGAACGGAGGAGCGCGCGCGCCGCCGATCTCACGTTGCGCCGCACGGGGTCGTCGGTGACGCGGGGCCCTTCCATTTCCACCGCTTCTCTGCTGCCCCCGAAGAGGCCGACAGCAGCAGCGCCACTCTCGCTGGCGCAACACTCGTCGGCGAGCTGGCGCTTGAGGCGCAGGTCATGTGCGGCCGACGCGGCATGGCACGGCGTGCAGAGCAGCAGCACGTCGTGCGACTGGTGGTCCTTCATTTGCTGCGGGAAGTGGCGGCGGTACTCGTGAGGAACGATGCTCTTCCTGACGGCGCATACGGGCACAAGCGCAAGCGCCGGCAGTGATGGGACAAGTAGTTATCGTCAGCCAGTTGAAGCCCTACCCCCCCCCCTATAAGCCTCAATTAAATGCTGCCTACCAACCATTTCACTCATTCACATGAACAGAGATCGTTCCATCTCCGCGGTGGTTATCCTCCTTGGACGCATTCTACTCAAAATATTAGAACGATATAAAAAGAGAAAACACTAGATGTTACGTGCTCGAGGACAGACAGAGCAGAAATTAAAGCCCTCTACCAAATTAAAGCAATGATGCGGTCGCGACCGTAACTTTTTATCGATTGCATCGTGCCGCCTCCCGAGGCCTGCGGCCTGTGGACCCAGCGAAGCGAGGGGACGCCGCCTCGCAACAGAAGCACTCGGCACCGCAACACCGCACAGCACCGCACCTGACGTAAGACTCGGCACGGCCGCACACCACGCACACGTTGCGCTTGACGCCAAGGTAGTAGTCGTGCTGCGAGTCCGGGCGCCCGGCCGGCTCGAACACCAGCCGCACCACCATGGGTTCTTGGCTCTCCAGCTCTGAGCACACGAACAACATACAAAGACCCCCCCCCCGTGTAGCCTTCAACAGACTGTTCGGGCAAGCACTGTTAGCAAAGGGCGGCTACGGCACACAAGGGGGTAAAAGCGACCACCACAAGCCACCCTTGTCGCCCCAATACTCATGGTTTTCACACTACCAGGTACTAATATAAAGGCTGCGTCGACCTAGGGGAGGCCCAGGAGAGAAAATATTTGCCATGGGCGGGAATCGAACTCGGGTAGCGGGATCTGTAGCGCAGTGCACCAACCACTACGTTGCTGTTCCCCCAAAACGCAACGTCGTGTAGGTACACACACGCACATAAATCCCCACTTGCACGCTGGAGTACTTGCGCACACACACACACCCGTACATACACAGTGGCACACACACATATACCTACATGTGCACACAGGCACCCAACTTAAAATTTGTAATTGTACCCCAATCACTCAGGATAATCTGCCAGAGCCCACTTGTGATGCACGGAGTTGATTGCTTGGCAGTGATTTGTGTCTGTACAGCGTTTTCCATTTGTCATGCGACAGTTGTTTGTGTTCCAATTCTCTCCTTGCTTTGTTGCTGTAATTTATTTTGCTTCTATTTTTGCCTGTAATTTTGGGGACCCAGGTCACTCTCGCAAAGGAGACGTGCCCCCGATATCTTGAGTTCTCAGCTGGTTAAAACAAATAAAAACTTGAACCCACGTAAATGTACAAACAGATGTGCTTGCACAGACTCTCATGCAGGCACACACTCGTGCCAGCGTTCCCAGGTGGATCACGGCGCCGCCTCTGTAGTCCACGAGCAAAGCGGTTGGTCGGTACCACCTGGGGGTGTCAATAATGCTACCAGTGTGTCCACCTTGGGACGTATGCACCATGGGGAATGTCCACCATCGGCAGTGTCCACCATGGGCAGAAATCTTCGTGTATATAGTCCGATGTATACAAAGATAAAGATCCCCCATATAGCCTGCACAGACTGTTGGGGCAAATGCTGTTAAGCGAACTATGAAGGTCGACACAGCACGAGGGGGTAGGTGGCCAGCGCCACGCCTTTGTCTCCCTAGTGGTGATGTTTTTCACACCGCACCACGTACTCATTTGAGGCTGAGTCGACCAGGGGAGGGCCCAGGACCGGTTCAGATAATCGTCACCTGGTGTTGGCCGTGACCGGAAATCCAATTCGGGTCGCCGGGTTCGTCACACAGCATGCCAACCACTACACTACTGTTCCCTATATTACATTTTTATTGACATTCTGCAGCTGTTTCATTTTGTTTTCATCAAAGCGTATTCTACATCACACCTTGCTATAACTGGTAATTTTGGTCTACAGATCAAATTATTAAGAAAAAATAAATCACATCTTCTTGGTTCTTTCGGTAAAGTCACGTAGAATGGAAATAATAAAATAATAAAAATAAACCAATAAAATTATTCTCACGACGTTTCAGCCACAACGCAAGCAGCAGTCCTCAGGTGGAGATCAGGTCTGTGAGAAATATTTAATGTTTTATTTTTATTATTTTATTATTTCCATTCTACGTGACTTTACCGAAAGAACCAAGAAGATGAATCCCTGCAGTCACGAAAGCTTTAAATCGAAATAAATCACAGTTAGCGTTTGTCTCTTTGGACGGCACACAGGAGTGACCACCGCTGGGCCGACAGCTCGAGGGCCAGTACCTGCGATGCCGCGGTTGAGGTACCACTGCGCCTTCTTACGGTCGCACGTCGACAGCGGCTGCCCGTCCGGCGCCTTGAGCAGGCAGTTGTCGTAGAGCGGAGACTTCCTGCGAGAGACGCAGGGCCACAACCGCGGCACGACAGAAAACAAAAAGCTCACAAAACGAACACTGGGTACCAAAAAAACAACGAATAGCCCTTGCTTGTGGATACACATCTAGAACGAAGGTTTTGGGGGATGTTGGACATGAGGATTGAAGCTTAAAACGGGAAAACACTGCTGTTGCCTGACATCGCCAAAGTCGTTTTCGAGCAAAGAGCCCCGATGAATTCTGCCTTTACCGCCTTGGAGAAAATAGCGCTCAACTTGGGCGAAAACCGTCATCATGAACAATCATCCGATCGGCAATTCCACTCACAAACCCCCTGGATTGAATCTCTTCCCAAAAACAACAGCCGTCCACATCGATTCAACACGTCTCACAGCAGGTCCGTCCGCCACCGCCTTCAGAAGAAGAAATTCAAAGAAGGCTCGGCGGTGCGAGTGTGGAAACAGCGACCAGACCATAGACCACATAGTAGTAAATTCAACAGGGGGATCGAATATATCCAAATATCGCTTGCGTATCGTTTCCAAGTGGTAGGCTGCATGTGGCCGTGGACTGTGTTAAAAGAAGTGTGCTGTATCCGGGCCTGCAGGCCATAGATTCCCCACTCCTGACAGAAATACCGCAATCCAGCAGCAAACATCAACTCCTTCACCAATGTATAGAGTACTACTACTGCCAGCGGCAAATGTTAATCATCCCATGCGTCTATAAACTAACCGCGATATATTCTGGGAACTCTGGCAGCTAAGAGTGCACCATCCTCTGTAAGAGAACGGCCCCTGAAAAGGATATCATGGAACTCCTTTTGAAGCCTCTATTCACACTTTTTATATGCCACAAAGAGAGTGTTCGTCGTATGTGACACTGAAACATAATGTTCTCAAAAGATGGCGTAAATCCAATTACGTGGCAGACCAATTATAACCTCACGGATTTTCAGGTGCCGAGACCATTAAGTCTCTAAACTATAGAATATCGTTTAAATCAGGTGCGATTGAAAGCCAAACTTGAACCCAGCACCCTCAGATATATATAGCGGTGTCATCCTCATAACCAAGGGTTGTTTACCCATCACAGATGCTTTCCACCTTTGAAAATCTTCAGGTGTCAGTTGACGGCACCATTTGTCTGCTCACATTGCCCCACCAACGTGACCAGTTTCACTCTTCCCCTCCCATCGTCACTTGCACACAATCATCTTCGCAGCCACCCTTCAGGAGAAGCTCTTCATTTCTGACAAGCATCCGTCGTCTCGCCACTCACCTCGGCGAGAAGAAGCCTTCCTTCTTGACCTTGGGAATCCCGATCACGGCGAGGCTGTTGTCACCGTGGATGTTCTCGCTGCTGCTGCTGCAGCTGCCGGCACCACCGCCACTCAGCCCATTTTCCGCGGGCACAGATTCGGCATCGCCGCTCTCCGTCGAGTCGTTGGATGACGACCGCACGTGCAGCCTCCCCACGGTCTCCACGTTCAGCTCTGTGGGGACAGCGCAATCGGCGGACATCAGGCCGGGGGCGTGGTGGCAATGTCCCACGGAGATCGGATAATTAAAGACCACACTGCCCGTATATGATGGGGAACCTCCCCACCACAATAGAAAGCTGCGTGCAGGCTGGAAACAAAGATTTAACAAACACGCAAAAGTACGTTGCCATTGCTGCTTAGAAACAGTAGGAAGGCATAACTCCCATCCATCTGCCTTGCATGCATGTCTTATGACGACCACTTCAGATGCAATGCTTTCAAGCCTTGTCCAGACTGCCACATTTTTCAATTCTTTGAGATGATGGTCTGAACAAGAACACAGCCACACATTTCAGCCCTCGGGCTTTCCTGCCATTTGCAAGCAGCACACCTTTCCTGTGTTATTTACATCAATTAACGGATTTAAAGGGCGATGCGTGCAATGTCAATAAAGTAACGTTACCATCGAGACGACGACCTCCACCGTGCTTCCCGGTTACACGCGACCCATTCGTGCTTCTCATCAACACAGACGTCACACGGCCACGCACGTCGATTCCCGGCCGGTCTCTAAACACGAAGGGTCGCATTGGTCTGCGAGAGTTCCGAATTAATTCTTCACCTCATGACGCGACGGCGACGGCACAAGCGGGATACAATTCGGTGGGGGTGGGGGGTTGAAAATGACAATCCCCAAACACGGTTAAGAAAGTGTGCAAGAGGGAGAGGGCGGGGAACCTACTTTTGAAGGGGACGTCGACAAGTCCCGCGCAGCGAGACAGCAGTCGCGCCCAGCACTCCCCCGTGACGCCAGCGGGCGACGCCAGCTCCGAGCCACAGCCCGAGTCGACCGACGTCACACTGGTGCTCGCGCCGCTACAGTCTTCCTCCTCGTCGCTCTGGGGGGGGGGGGGGGGGGGGCAGTCAGCATCTTCAACGTGGTGGTGCACACCCGAGACCCAGATCTCTTAAGACACCCGGGGCCATGGCGGGGCCTGGCAGTCGCCCCGATTATTACCACCGTGCGTAATAAATCGCGAGAATACAACTCGCCGTCTGCTTCACATTGCAAGTTCAACGTCCACTAATGTCACTTGCAAATGTAGGCTAATGTGTGCCAGCGTCAGGACACAAATTTGGCAAATTAGAAAATTAGTTCATTGGGATTACACAACCATCACACCAAATGCCCCAGGTAACTTTTGCACATCTCGGAGTTCACACCTGGTTAAATAAAATAAACCTATCAACTAAAAACGTGTATGTATATATATATATTTTGAAGAAAAAAATGTTCATTGTAAAAACCAAAAGCAACATTACAGTTGGACCAATGCACATTTGCAGCCGAGTGCTGCGTTTACCTTGTGCTGCACAGAGGCAGCTATCAGGGGTCCCCTAGGCTAAACCTCTCCTCCCTATACCTGGGCAATAGCATGATGGAGAGGAGAGGTGATGCAATCCACCTTGAGTTTCCAAGGCATTTTAGGAAGCGGCCTATAGATACAGATCCTTGTCCTAAATCCTTATGTCGGTGTCCCACGTGATGTAGAGTACAGAATACCAATTTAGATGAAGACAGATCTCATTTGTGCGTCTCTGCGTGTGCGCGTGTCTTTGCGCGTTGCGTTCGCACGCTGCTCCAGCAGTTTACCCGGCCGAGCGTGTCACTCGCCGGCGCCTGCAGGCTGCGGCCCAGCAGACTGAGGAACAGGCGCACGGACACCTGGGCATCGTGGGCCGCGTACTTCACCTGTGCGGAACGGGCGAGAGCGGCAGCGGCAACCACCGCACGGCGGAGAATGTCAAATCAGCTGCAGAGCGGTACAGGCCAAAAGCACATTTCTATTTTGCGGCCGCCCACACTCCCGGAAGCAGCCAAGCTCAGCTGTTGCGGATGGTAACGCAAGCGTAAAAATTCCACTTGTATGCAAGTTTTGCCGCTGGTACATTCAATCCTGTAATCTTTGTAATCCAAATTCAAACCCATCATCTATCATCTAACATTACAAGCCGTGTTCAAAGTTCAAATGTATGATCCTATTCTATACGTTTGTAATGGGTTCAACCGATTCGCAGACGTAGACTTTGGAGGCAACACATTTTATTCAGTTCTAACACATGGGGTAACTTCCCCTTAACAGAATAACAAGCTAACTACACTAGTTACCACGTAACTGTTACTACGGACCCGGGACTACAACATCTGCCCGGGTCCACGTGATGAAAGACTTTTTGAACGGAGTTCGTAGACGAAGGGTTTATTTCCCAGGATGAAGAACCCTGGTCTCTCTCGGGACCCGGCTTATATTCTCTGTGGTGTGGCCGGCTCCCCACCCTTGGCCACATCCACGTTCCAGAACCATCTGGAAGGATCTGGGTCCCAATCACGTGACCCCCCTCGCCCCCTCTTGGGGCCCCTCTGTCAACGTAACCAGTCACGGGTCCTCCCGGGTCAACCAGAGTGCCATGGCATCACACAACCTTACCCCTCGGTCGGGACCCACACACCCGGTCCTGTATGGCCGGCACTGCACTTACAGCCTGGTGCCATCCAGCGTTATTACCCAGCGCACACCGCGCCCCTCTAGGGCCGGTACTACACCCACAACATAGTGACATCCAGCAATGTCACTACACGTGTGTAGTAGCATAGCGCTGGCTGCTGGCGAAAAAGGGGATCTGCGGCGTACGGCAGTCCTGACGTCAGCAGGCCATGATATACACGAGCGGGTCACAAAAGGTAGCGTGGCCGGGGCGGAGTAAGGCCACGATGACAGTATAAGAGGGGCCCCTGTGGGGGACCTCGGGGGTGTTGCTGGAAGTGGAATCCCTGTCATGCTGCTGAAGTCCATCGCCGCCATTCTTCTCGTTGTCGTCTCAGTCGTCACCATCCCGGGGCGCCGCTAGTCAGACAGCCTACCAACTGTTCTAAGTAGTGCCGCTGACAATAGACGGCCTTAATAAATAGTGCGTTATCCCGATGGTGCTTATTAAATAAAGAAGTGCCTCCAAGTCTTACGGTCTTTGAGCTAGTCACTACACGTGCATGTGCAATTCGTAATCCAATGTCATTCTGCCGTTACTCGCCTCGCCACGTCTCACCTGACCGAACGAAAAGAGCAACAGGTCACCCACCTAGCGACGTCTCACTTGCGCGCGTGAGTGGAGCGACACATCAGCCGCCCAACGGCGTCTCACCTGCGCCTCCGAGAGCTCCGGTGCCTCCCAGTCGCTCTGCTGCTGCTCTGCCGATTTCTCCATCTCCAAGCCGAGCTCTGCGAGCGCTAGCGCCTTGAGGCCCAGGCCGTTCCAGCGGCCCTTGCACCGCCTGCGCGTGCAACGTGGGCATCGTCACCAACGTTGTCATTACAACCAGCACGGTCAAGTCCAAAGGTCATCGTCCAAAAGAACTGCCTCCCATTTATATGTTTCCATTATATTTATAAGCAGAATGTTGCTTTTATTTATTTCTGGTTGTGATATGCATGACAAAATCACAATCTAGGCAGGCAGATCTTGCAAGCAAAGCTGGTTTGAGCCTGGATAGTGCTTGGCTGCTGTGGGGGCTACGTTTTCAGCAGAGGGTGAAGCAACAAAATCCATTGCATCATGCGTCTGCCATCACCAGCCCACACTGATCGACATGGATGAAATAATCCCGACCCACTGCATAATGTGGCAAGGCCATTATCCAGCAGTGGATTGGCAAAAAGAGTTCGACGTGCACATGTATTTTGCTATGAAACTACCTCGTATCCACACCGATATGGGGGGGAACGCCCTCAGAGGAGGTCTCATCGGGGCCCATTTGCGAAAATAACTCCCGATATCCATGTAGTCTTTACCACAAATGAATCCAAACAGGATAAAAAACAATCTATTCAAACATTATACATTTGTCAGCACGTATGGAGGACTCTCCTTATCCACGAGAAAAATAAGTGGACAATAGGATTAATGGAGCACATCTGGGAGATCACCCAACTCCTTAGCCACAAATATTGAAAAGCGACGAGGTGAAGAGAGAGGCCATTTCCACAGCTGTATGACGATACGAGACCTGGCCTCAATGACAAGACAATTCCCACGATGGTATCAGTGTAAAATTCAGTGTCCACTGGAGTCCACGACATTGGTAGTTGTATTAAGGCATGACTGCGGTAGCAGCGATACAAGAGTAACGAGGAAAGCATCTGAACGACGAGTACGACTGGATTGAAATCGCAGTCTAAAAATACATTTTCAGGAGGGTTCTTTACGCATCAATCGGTTTGACCAATTCCCTTTCGAGCAGCACCTCACATCGAGGATCGTAACCCCGACGGCGCCGGATTTACCACAGCTGCCACCGTCGCAAGTGGGCGACCAATCGCTCACCCGTGCCGGATCGCCAGGTGCCGAAGGTCGACGCAGCCATGCACGGCGACGCCGCGGTCCCTCTCCAGCCGCCGAGCGTCGTCAAACACGCCCACACCAGCCTTGAGAACGGCCCTGCTGGCCAGCAGGTCCCGTAGGCCGGAGGGCAGCGCGTTGGTCAGGTCCGCGGCACCGTCGATGGCGGTGGAGGAGAAAGAATCTGGAGAGGTGGACGAGGAGGTCGTGGAGGAAGGGGTCGAGGAGTTGAGGGGGCAGAGCCGCACCAGCACGCAGTAGCCACTGGCCGAGGCGAGTTGTAGCAGGGCGACTGGCATCGCCCTGCCATCCTCCACCACCTGGGGACGACGATAATCATTCTCCTTTGTCAAGGAGCATAAACCATCACGCCAACTCCGGTCATCCTCACAGCAGCGGCGTTTGGCTGGCCATCAAACAAAGATGGTCACTGCATTGCGTGCCTTCAGATGCGCTTTTGCAGCCGTCTGGAATGCTCTTCCTTCCGATATTAGGAAACCACTGGAGTTATGCACTTTTAAATTCAGAGTGACCAACTCATTTCTTTAGAATAGCTTTTTTGTGTTTCGTTTGTCGTCCTTACCCCGCACCTCTGATTAACACGGTTGGCTAGGTACAGTACGAACTAAGTTCAACGCACAGTATATATTCTCTCATCCATGATCATATTCCCGACTGATCCTATTTACCACACCCCTCTACCCCCTCCCCCCTTTTTGATACATCGAGGCTCCTGCATGTAAAGATCTTTTTTTTTGTGATCCATATTTTTTTAGCGATAACAAAAGTCAATCAAGTGTGGTCTCCCAGATGAGCGAATTTTGTCCTATTCATGTCTGTATTATCCATTTGAACCCAGAAGTAGTCTCGTGGAAGCGTTGAATATAACCCTCTTACGAAATGCAGATAAGAGGCATCACAAGTGGCAGCAAATTAATGCCATTATCCACGAAGAAGTTATTTTCACTGATAAAGTGCATAGATCGAAAGGAAGTTTCACTGCAATGTCAATGCTCATTATTTTCCCACAAAAAGGCCTGCCACCAGGCAATCAACTCTCTTCCGAGAAGGCTCCAGAGATTGGGATATTTGTCAAATTCCTTTTCAAGTTTCTCTTTTTCCTTTCGGAGGGGCACTTGGAGCCAACCAGCCACGAGTAGTATCCTTCCTACTGACCCTACCGCTTCCCCCAACCCAGTGGTTCCCAACATTTCTGAACCCACGGACCAAAACGCAGTAAAAAAATATGGTGTGGAAACAGCGAGACAGACACGCAACGTTTCTACGAACCACCTCCCACGGGCCTTGCGAACTGGCAGTGGTCCGCAAATCACAGGTTGCGAACACACTGCACCAACACTTCCCCTAACCAACTAGGGACTCAGCCAACAGCACCAGCCCTACCACCTATCCACAAAGCCCCCGACCACTCCACCTGGGTCGCTTGGTCAGGGCTCCATTACACTGTAGACATTCTGTGCACCAGCCAGAGTGACCCCGGCCGGTCACTTACCCATTCGCAGTCCATGCCCAGCACCGGGTATGTCGCCAGGTCACGCTGCAGAGGCGAGGCCGCTTCGTTCCACTGGCCCATGGTCTCCACCAGAGCCACCGTCTGGCTCGGTGTGTCCTTGAGGGCGCAGAGGGGGCCAGTCGCGACCTGGCGGTGGGAGTAAAAGTGCAGCGCTGCAATGTCTCGCTCACTCACACTGCTGGCGGAATGCCCCCCCCCCCCCAACTAGAGGGAGCACTAAAGCGTTACTGTATTTGGCCTACTCTTCGATCCTTTGCCTTAAGAGGCGACAGTTCTGAAAGGTGACCAGTACCTACACACTTCATCCCACCTGGCATACCACATCAAGCTATGGGCTACAAGTCACGTTCTAGATTTGAAGCTTTCGTGACTGCAAGGATTCATACTCTTAGGTTTTTTACGGTAAAGTCACGTAGGTAAAAAATAAAATTCAAAGTTAATCAAAGTAATAATGGAAATAAAATAAATTAATAAATCACGACGTTTCGGAGGCAACACAAGTCTCCGTCATCAGGTGGGACCGTCACTTGATGCAGTAATTTTAGCTGTGACGGTCCCACCTGATGACGGAGACTTGTGTTGCCCCTGAAACGTCGTGATTTATTAATTTATTTTATTTTCATTATTACTTTTATTAACTTAAAATTAGATTTTTTACCTACGTGACTTTACCGAAAAAACCTAAGCGTACAAGTCACGTCTCGACTCCATTCTACTGCCAGCGATCCGCAAAATGTTCAGCGAGACATTAAGCTCTGGTCTTGGGTAACAACGCCTTCGACACATTTCACGCTGCACCGCCGACCTAGAAAGATGAACACGTGGATTAGAAAGCGTACAACCTCAGGACACAATTCTAATTGTTAACAAGAGCACGTGGGCTTGGTCAGTGCACGTCATGGCTAGAATTGATGACGGCCAGTGGTCAGTAGCGACGGAATGACAGCCAAAGAAGAATGGAACGGGTCCAAAAGGGCTTCAACCAAGGCTTAAGGAACGATGCAATCAGCTCGTGGTGCAGCAGGTGCTGAGTGAACGCCACATCGCAGAACAGCGAGGGTTGGCGACCAGCTTGGGGCTAAGTCGTCTTGCTCCGGGGCAATGATTTAACCCCGACCGATGATGACGATATACGTACTGTGTGCATGCTGGTGTTCTTTCGTGCTAATCGCAGGTGCGCTTGGCTGCGAGAATACCGACCTGCGGAAGATCTAGAGGAGTCTCGAGCCCGGCGCTCGAGGCATTTCGGGAGTACTCGATGTCCGACGAGTCGCCCTCCTTCCCCCGTGCACACTCCGGCTCGCACCTCGCCTCCCCTTCACAGTCGCTCCGCAATTCCGTGACCTCTCCTCCTCCACCACCAACATCAACACGACCACCAACACGACCACAGTCGTCTTCCGGGCCCGTCCCCTCGCCTCCCTGTGCAGAGCCGAGCCTCCTCCACGCGCAATAAATCCCGGCCGCCGTGCCCAGGGCAGCCAACAGAGCCCCGGCCACGATACGGGATGAGCTCATGATGAGGCCGGGCGAGTGAATGGTCGACAGCATCGCGTTTCCAGCTCCTCTCCAGGCCATAGTCTTCACCGTATCGGCAATGATGGGCTGCAATTTATTCTCGCTTCGTGAATTTTCCGACTGGTTGAACGTGTTCTTTCTCGCTAATGCATGTTCACGTTGCCACCCCCTTTTTTTAAATGTTACTATTACCACGATGCCATTACTGTAGCGTCAAAGCAACGTTAACAATAACACATTAAGTAATAGTAAACGAACAATTAATTATTGTTTAGTAATTAACCGTTTACTCGCCGGACACGTGGACACATTTTGCTGCTGCTTCTGCTGTGCTGATGTTGCTGCTGCTGATGTTGCTGCTGCTGGTGCTGCTGATGATGCTTCTGCTTGTGGTGGTGGTGCTGCTGCTGATGCTGCTTCCCCCCCCCATCATCGCCCACGTGTTTGTTTATAAGCGTCGCCACGTGGGTCACGACCCCCCCCCCGCCCCCCGCGATGCCACTTCCGCTTCCGGGTTGGCTAATTAGGAGGCGTGGCAAGGCGACATTATTTATCTCCCTTCTTGGATCTTTCGGTAAAGTCATCACGTAGAAGGGAAGTAATAAAATAATAAAAATAAAACATAATAAAATTATTCTCACGACGTTTCGGCCACAACGCAAGCAGCCGTCTTCAGGTGGAGAACAGGTCTGTCAAGTAGACAGAGTCTGAATGGCACGCTCCAGACCTGTTCTCCACCTGAGGACGGCTGCTTGCGTTGTGGCCGAAACGTCGTGAGAATAATTTTATTAATTTTTATTTTTATTATTTTATTACTTCCCTTCTACGTGACTTTACCGAAAGAACCAAAAAGATGAATCCCTGCAGTCACGAAAGCTTTAAATCGAAAATTATTTATCCCAATTATATTCAGATCGAACTTGTTTTTACACCGTTATGTTACACAAATCAATCGCGGGGGTCTCGTGTTCCGGCTTGTAGACACCCCCTGGCACAAGTTTGGTTTGCCTCTTTAATGTTCCTGAGTTTTGTTATGTTTTTTAACGGAGAGAATAACGCGATTTAACAAACAAAAACTCTCGATTTATACGACTCACGATGCGTGTATCGAATTGCACGTTATTCAAATCGATACGTCTATCGTTTTTACCATCTGAATGTTACATATAATGTGTGTGTATAGACAATTTGTGAGATGCAATCTACGGCCACTCTACATTCTCGCATGCACCACAAAGACAAAGCAACAACAATATACTATTGATTCTCCCAATCGATCCGTGGTTATTATTGCATGGGATCGATACATCATCCCCGGGGTGTCATCGTTTGTTTCCCAGTAACCACGTCCTCCGTGAATGCTCATTGCTCGTTGATTTGGCGAAATTGGTCGGCTTCTGTGATGATGAGGTTACCCCGTGTCTCTCCATCATCATCAGCCATATGATCGATCCACTGCTGGATGAGGCCCTCCATACAGTCCGTCTACAACTCTCACTGCCTCTACAATGCAACAATTCACTTATATATTCCAGCAACATCCTACCTAATCCCACGCAAGAGTCACTTTGAATGAATTTCGCTGTCATTTTTACCCCCCCCCCTACACTTTCACCTTTCCCCAGTTGTTACCCCCCCCCACCTCCCCTACAGCCCCAAATAAATTGCCCCATTATTTCACCCCTAATGGCAAAGGCGATTAGACACCGCACTGTATTCGTGTTCTTGCTGCTGCTGCTGCTACTGCCTTCATTGATTTCTTGTGGGGGTGGTGAGCCAAGTCATTTGAGTTCAATTGCCACGGCCAACATCACCGGCGATTATATAGGGGGGAGAGGGGAGGAAATCCTATGGCTACGGCATACCCTATAAGCCAGCCATTTATCAGTGCCCTCTCTAGCTTATTACAGATCCAATTCAGATCTCATTGGTCACCCCGTGCCCATATACATCTCAACGTTCAGCCTACAGAGCCACATCACAAGGGAGAAACACAAACACGTGGTTTTTTTGGTCGTATTAAAACGGCTGTGTAACTCCGTATGGGGCCGTCCATAAATGACGTCACGCACCTGGGGGGGTCAGACATTTGTGACGATGTGTGACGATGTGTGACGAGGGGGGAGGGGGTTTGAGAAATGTGACGTCACATCAAAATGAGCAACTTTAAATAAATATAGACAACACGTTCTACTTAATGAAATATACTTTTTAATAACAGGACCCTGCGGGGTGGGCTGGTAGGAACGAATAACCAAAGAATATAAACATAATGTATTATTACACTTGTTTAGCCAGGAAAGCCCCACTGAGTCTAAAGGTTTTTGTAGGGTCCTGCCAAGTGTTTGCAGTAGGGGGCGATGTTGCTACACCAAATCGGACGATACGAAGGGAGAGTTTGAGGCCTAGTTCTAGGCTTCAGGCCTAGCTGTAGGCTTTAGGGCGCTGTGAGTTAATTTTTAATTTAAATGTTTTAATTATTTATGTAAAAGCTTTAAATTTAAATGTTTCTATTTAAAAGCATCAGGGAATGTAACATTGTTAAACATTAACTCCCTTTCACACACGCGGGGGCACGATACGAAGGGAGAGTTTGAGGCCTAGTTCTAGGCTTTAGGCTTAGCTGTAGGCTTTAGGCCGCCGTGAGTTAATTTTAAATTTAAATGTTTTTATTATTTATGTAAAAGCTTTAAATTTAAATGTTTCTATTTAAAAGCATCAGAGAATGTAACATTGTTAAACATTAACTCCCTTTCACACACGCGGGGGCACGATACGAAGGGAGAGTTTGAGGCCTAGTTCTAGGATTTAGGCCTAGCTGTAGGTTTTAGGCCGCCGTGAGTTAATTTTAAATTTAAATGTTTTTATTATTTATGTAAAAGCTTTAAATTTAAATGTTTCTATTTAAAAGCATCAGGGAATGTAACATTGTTAAACATTACCCTTGCACACACGCGGGGGTACGATACGAAGGGACAGTTTGAGGCCTAGTTCTAGACTTTAGGCCTAGCTGTAGGCTTTAGGCCGCTGTGAGTTAATTTTTAATTTAAATGTTTTAATTATTTATGTAAAAGCTTTAAATGTAAATGTTTCTATTTAAAAAACATCAGGGAATGTAACATTGTTAAACATTAACTCCCTTTCACACACGCGGGGGTACGATACGAAGGGAGAGTTTGAGGCCTAGTTCTAGGCTTTAGGCCTAGCTGTAGGCTTTAGGGCGCTGTGAGTTAAATTTTAATTTAAAAGTTTTAATTGAAAGCTATCTCAGGGAATTATACGGGAATGTTACACTTGTTTAGCCAGGAAAGCCTCATTAATTTAAATGTTTTAATTAAAAGCTATCTGAGGGAATTATAAGGGAATGTTACACTTGTTTAGCCAGGAAAGCGTCACTGAGTTTAAAGGTTTTTGTAGGGTCCTGCCAAGTGTTTGCAGTAGGGGGCGATGTTGCTACACGGACGGACGATATAATCTATTGTAGGCTGGTCCACTTCGTTCCTACCAGTAAATGTTTTCTCCTACAACATCAAGAGTGCAGCGCCACATTAAATACGCACTACAATGACAATAGTTTAAAGCGATTTGAAGCATGTTTTGGGGGGGGGGCAGAGCTTTGTGACGTCATATTTGAGGGGGGGGCTGACTTTTTGTGACGTCGTGTGACGATGGGGGGGGGGGGGGTCAAAAATCGTCAAAAATCGCGTGACGTCATTTATGGACGGTCCCTATGGACCTGAAAACTCTTATTTCCCTGTACAAGAATAATGGGTAAACCGTATGGGTTGACGGCCAGGCTTCTGAAACCCGCTCTCACAGAGCCACATTGACTAGAGTGGTGAAGTATGGTTAACCATCACCCCCCATGGACCCCACACGCCGTGGCGAGGGAGGCCTTCATCCAGCAGTGGATTAACAAAAGGGATGTACTGTGCATGAAACGTATTTTTTATATATAGATATGAATATATATTGACAATTCCACGTTGACGTAAAGTCAATAAGTCTCGTACAGTAAATGATAAAAGTATCACAGTAATATTGTCCTTTATAGGCACAGGAGTACAGTACAGTGGGTTACATGTAGAAAAGGAATTGAAGTTAAACGACCGCATTAAGAAACATTTTACGGTTGCATATTTCACACTGCGCAAGCGAACTACGATTTACAACTCGCGTCGTGCACATAGACTACGATTTACAAACTCTTTGTGCGCAAGTGAACTACGATTTACAACCACTCCGCGTATGTGAGCAACACATTTCAACTGTTCGATCGTCAACGATGAATTGCAAATGTACTTGCGCATCTCCACTACGATTTACAACTCTATATTCGCATGTTAACTATGATTTACAACTTTACTTGCACATTCGAACTACGTTTTACAACCACAGTACCCGTGCATCCGAACTGCGATTTAAAAACTCGCGAGCGCATACGAACTACGAATTACAACCCCCGGTCGCGCATGCGGACTACGAAATTGCAACCCCTGATCGCGCATGCGGACTACGAAATTGCAACCCCTGATCGCGCATGCGGACTGCGAAATTGCAACCCCTGATCGCGCATGCGGACTACGAATTACAACCCCCGGTCGCCCATGCAGACTACGAAATTGCAACCCCTGATCGCGCATGCGGACTGCGAAATTGCAACCCCCCGGTCGCGCATGCGGACTGCGAAATTGCAACCCCTGATCGCGCAAGCGGACTACGAAATTGCAACCCCCCCAGTCGCGCATGCGGACTACGAAATTGCAACCCCCCCAGTCGCGCATACGAACTACGAAATTGCAACCCGCGGTCGCGCATGCGGACTACGATTTCCAAAGGTCGCCTCCCAGCGCCCTATATATAGAGGGGGCAGGGGGAGGCGGCGTCCATCGGTGGCTCGCGCAGCTGCCGAGCGGGACGAGTCGTGGGGGTCGTGGGGGAGGAGGAGGCGGCAGCAGCAGCAGCAGCGTTGGGCGGGAAGCAGCGAGGCGAGCGCACCCTCCGCGTAGCCCTCTCCGGCACACACACACAGAACGACCCGCGTTGGCGGACGAGGAGGCGGTTCGCGTGCGCCTCGGAAGCGTTTGCGGCAACAACAAGAACATCAAGAAGAAGAAGAACCACAAACAACGGAGAGCGCCAGGCGGTGTTGGAGCGAGGAGGAGAAGGAGGCGCCATGGCCACGCCGCCCGTCAAGCCGCCCGTCACCATGAACCTGTTCGCCACCTGGGAGGTGGACAAGGCATCGCCCAGCTGCGTGCCGAGGTGATGCGGCTTGCAGTCCTTGGTTGATCCTTCCCCTCCCCTCTAACACCACCATCATCACATTTGCATTTATGTCGTTGTTCAGGAGGGGTCAAGTTTTGTTTTTTAATTAAAAGTTGCGGCGAGCGGCGGATGTTGGTTGGCTCGCTGGCGTGTGTCGGTGCGTGATATCATCATACATGATCATAGGTGCGTTGTAACATCATATACATGATCATAGGTGCGTTGTAACATCATATACATGATCATAGGTGCGTTGTAACATCATAGACATTATCATAGGTGCGTGGTAACATCATAGACATGATCATAGGTGCGTTGTAACAGCATACACATGATCATAGGTGCGTTGTAACAGCGTATACATGATCATAGGTGCGTTGTAACATCATAGACCTGATCATAGGTGCGTTGTAACATCATAGACCTGATCATAGGTGCGTTGTAACATCATCATAGACATGATCATAGGTGCGTTGTAACATCATCATAGACATGATCATAGGTGCGTTGTAACATCATCATAGACATGATCATAGGTGCATTGTAACATCATCATAGACATGATCATAGGTGCATTGTAACATCATAGACATGATCATAGGTGCGTTGTAACATCATAGACATGATCATAGGTGCGTTGTAACATCATAGACATGATCATAGGTGCGTTGTAACATCATAGACATGATCATAGGTGCGTTGTAACATCATAGACCTGATCATAGGTGCGTTGTAACAGCATATACATGATCATAGGTGCGTTGTAACATCATAGACCTGATCATAGGTGCGTTGTAACATCATAGACATGATCATAGGTGCGTTGTAACATCATAGACATGATCATAGGTGCGTTGTAACATCATAGACATGATCATATGTGCGTTGTAACAGCATATACATGATCATAGGTGCGTTGTAACAGCATATACATGATCATAGGTGCGTTGTAACATCATAGACATGATCATAGGTGCGTTGTAACATCCACATGATCATAGGTGCGTTGTAACATCATATACCTGATCATAGGTGCGTTGTAACAGCATATACATGATCATAGGTGCGTTGTAACAGCATATACATGATCATAGGTTCGTTGTAACATCATAGACATGATCATAGGTGCGTTGTAACATCATCATAGACATGATCATAGGTGCGTTGTAACATCATAGACATGATCATATGTGCGTTGTAACATCATAGACATGATCATAGGTGCGTTGTATCATCATATACATGATCATAGGGGCGATGTAAAATCATAGACATGATCATGGGTGCGTTGTAACTGCATATACATGATCATAGGTGCGTTGTAACAGCATATACATGATCATAGGTGCGTTGTAACATCATAGACATGATCATAGGTGCGTTGTAACATCCACATGATCATAGGTGCGTTGTAACATCATAGACCTGATCATAGGTGCGTTGTAACTGCATATACATGATCATAGGTGCGTTGTAACAGCATATACATGATCATAGGTGCGTTGTAACAGCATATACATGATCATAGGTGCGTTGTAACAGCATATACATGATCATAGGTGCGTTGTAACAGCATATACATGATCATAGGTGCGTTGTAACAGCATATACATGATCATAGGTGCGTTGTAACAGCATATACATGATCATAGGTGCGTTGTAACATCATAGACATGATCATAGGTGCGTTGTAACATCATAGACATGATCATAGGTGCGTTGTATCATCAAAGACATGATCATAGATGCGTTGTAACATCATAGACATGATCATAGGTGCGTTGTAACATCATACACATGATCATAGGTGCGTTGTAACATCAGCATAGACATGATCATAGGTGCGTTGTAACATCAGCATAGACATGATCATGATCATAGGTGTCGTGCGAATTGGGGGAGGACGGTGGTGGTGGTGGGGTAAGTTTGAAAGCTGAGGTCGAAATCATTCTAGATTTGAGGTAGCAAAACAAAACCAGTGAAAAACACCGGAGTGTGTCTGTGTGGTTGCGTTTGAGTATAGGGTCGGCGTGGCTGAGGATGCTTGAATTAAATTGTCAATTAACAGCGAATTGGTTGTGGGATTTTGTGCAATTTAGTGGAAGTTTTGGGACGCAAGGGCGATTGAACGCAGGAGGCAATTGTGCTAGATAATGTGGAAGTGAACGCGATCTTTAAAATCCGTTTTTGTGGGTTTTTTTGAACGATTACAGTAATTATGTCGTTTTGAGGTATGACGATCTGCATACAGACTAAAGTAAAGTAGTGCTGACATTGTTATTTTTCAAATAAGCAGTGAACCAACCCATCACGCCGGTGATAAAATCGTGTCCCCCTCATGACCGCTGTGTGCACCGGGTCCCCGTTTGCCATCAATCTATGCACGAGACGCAATCACTATCGACGTATAATTAAGGAAATTGTGCCCGAGTCAAAATGTCAAACCTGTTAAGATCAATATGAAGGCGCACTGCATGCACCACTGTACGTACGTAACATTGTACAGCATTGCAAATGCTGTGGGGTTTTTTTTTTATTGCTGAATTGTACAATCGAAACGTGCAACAACCATTTGGTCCAGAGTGGCACATTGCCAGATATAGGAGGGCCTTGGTAATGTGTATGTGGGCATTTACAAGTTTGCATTGGTGGACGTACGGTACCGCAATTGGCATCCTGTAACAGGGAAATTGCAAGCAACAGTCTTATCAGAACCATAATCAGAATCTTGTATTTAGACTCCGAGGAATCCTATGAGCTACGAAGTTCTTTAGATTGTTTTATTCCCAATCCAGGACAATCACCCCCCACCCAATACCCCACCAACTTGGTGAGGTTTGAAACAATCCCCACCATAGGCATAGCACGCGGAGGCATTTTTCTTTCAATGAGAACAAACGGGGGATGTAAGTAACATTGCATGGACTGTACCTACGGCATTACCCAGACCGTCATTGTGTTCGATAGCATCGACAGCTCAACGGTGCCTTGGAGCTGTCCTTCAAATGCTGTGCGAGTTTTGAGGCTCGGTAATTAGAATTAAAAAAAATAGCGACATTCACGTTTTCCCCAGTGACATCACTTGAGTGGCGATGCATTGATGTCAATTTAAAGCTTTTATTACTCATTACAGAAGCTTTAAACATGTGTGAAACGGTCCAGGGCACGTGCATTGTCTAAAATATTGGCGCTTTTGTTTTTTTTGCTTCATTTGGTATTCAGGTCTCCCTTTCAAAATTAATTTCGTCTCAAGGGCTTCTCACCTGGCTTAACAATAAGAGCTTACGTGTATGTATCTCCATTGTAACCCCTTGGGTATATAAACTATAACCAAACTTCTAGTTGAGTGTCCTCGATATATCTCAGGAAAAAGCTTTTTTTTAGTTTAATGAGTCGTACTAAAAATAAAATGACTGATATTGACAGTAATGGTGAGCTTTTGGTTCAACACTTATCCAAAGCTGCTAAAACTGCCTACACGACTTGAGTCCTTTATTTGTCATCACGGTATGCATAATACAGTGAAACTACTCCCTTACCTTTTATTGTTATTTGTGACCTATCAATGTCTGCAGCCAGGATCGATCGTTGACAATCTTATTACCTGCAGATATTTAACGGAGGAAGTGCGATGCACCGTTAATTCCTCCTGTTTGATAATACTTCTCTTGTCCGTATGCATCTGTGCAGATAGGGTTTTTTTGCGGTTAAGCCATAGTCCCCACATACCGCTCGTATCGATGCAGATAAGAGGAGCGGCGACCCACTACTCTGTAGAGTAACATTGGTATAAACGCTTGTTACAATATGAACAGCGCATTGAAAACACGTACTATTTTATGTTCTGTTTACAAAGTGTGTTCACAAATCCACACTGAGAAACACGAAGATTGACAGATGGGTGTAGCTTATTTTTTCTATAGTGTAATTAAATAGAGGTACTGCAGGCAAGTGATTTTTAAGTTTTAAAGGCATGGTTTAACAAGCCAACACTTGCCACCATCCTTCAAACCCATTGGTGAAAAAGAGCAAAGTTTTTGTTTACATTATATGTTCACGTCTGGTCGCCAGCTGTTTTGCATACCAAGTTGTCAATTGTTGATGCTATACACCGCCTGTATTTTTAAAGTGCTGCGAACTTGTACGTTGCTCCTGCGAAAAATTAGCATTTTGTCTAAAATGTAAAGTGTAATCGTTGAGGTGTCTTCCGCTACCCCGTTGAAATGTATATCCTATTTTCATCGGGCCAATGTGGGTGCCCATCTTATAGTAATGCAAATTATTGCATCCCGTAGTGCTGTTTAAAATGAATTCCCATGTGGTTACGCATGCATTCATAAGTGTGTTTCAGAAACTGCCATGTGTGTCGTTTCTACCACTGGCGGTGACATCGCGGCCTTACTAACATGTTTACATTTCCTGAGCTGGGGTGCTATTTAATTTGGCACTGCAAGTTTATCCTGTGACGTTCTGTCGACATTCCAACTATAATTGGACACCGAAATGGGGGAGGGGGGAGCAATATTCGGAATGCCACCTAGCTCTTGCATGCGTTCTATTTTCAATGTCACATGCCAGCACCTCTTCTGCCCTTCTGGTCCTCTGATGTGCTCACCCACCCTGTGGCTAGCTAGCTTGCTGCATTGCAGGAAGCTCGAAATTACTGTACTGCATTCCACATTCCTCTCGGCTGTCAAGGGCTCGTGTTTAGCACTGCCTTTTTTAAGTCATTTTTTTTAACAATCCTTGTGGTGGAGATGGAAAACATCTGGCTGAATTGTGGCATTTAAATGGTAAACAAATACATAAAACTTGCATTGCTCATGGTTTTAAGTTTTATATTAAAAAGTAGCTTTTATTTACAATGGTGATTTTGAAGTACATTTTATATTGTGATTTGTTTATTTGGAATTGCATAAAAATGTGACAAAGTTGGGGGAAAATTTGATTAAATCTGTGGTCCGCTCGTGGTTTTCTGGGTTTCCTCAGATAACAGCTGCTCATGGGTTTCTGTAACAATTTTTGTTGGCAGATATTTTTGGCATAGTTTGTGAATTTATTTCTACTATTTAAAACGGAATTTTGTTGAGAAATTCTTTAATGTTCGGTTTATATGTTAATTTTTAAAAAATGCATGCTCCCAAACGGTGTCCTTTCAAATGAAATGACAAACATCGTGGAAAATAACTTGATTATTTTTTATTCTTATTCGAAGCTATACATTTTTAGTTTAGAGCTATACATTATTGTGCAGTTTCAGTTTGTGTTTTTAAGGGCTTATTCTGACCAAAACACATGTCTATGATTGTCAATGCATGTGGAATAGAATAATAAATCTGCAGAGTGAGGAAAACAACCCCAATGTCTTTTAATTTTGTCATATGTACTGGACGATTAGTACATGTGCAGTCTTTTTTGTATGTAAAATTGTGCTTTCACAGGTATGAAGTTGCAAAATGTAGACTTGCATTACAAATTAAACCATATTGGTTTTGGCATGGAGTGCTTTTAGTTGATTTGTGTTCGTGTTGGTATATGCTTTTCAAAGATAGTGAAGCACCATTATGAACAATTAAACGAATTGTTCAGCTGTTGCATAATGTTTTTGTTATATATGCATAGTGCATTGATTAGTATATGTTTTTTAGTGTGCATGCTTTCTGTTTCATAGAACAATAGGCTTAATTTGGATTCCATTGCTGTTAGCAGACTAATGCAGTTTATACTGATTGTATAAACAATAAAGCTGAATTGTGCAGACTGGATCTTCAAAAAGTCCAAGTTTAGAAAAAAAAACTGTTTGCCATGATAACAGAATTGCAAGTTCTGGGGTTTATTTGCCATGCATCCAGCATGGAAAATCTGTTTGTGGTTAGGATGTGGTTATTATTCAATGACAGTTCATGTTTATGACACTGAATGTTCACTGGTTTGGGTGCATAAGGTAAAGTGAGAAGTTACTCAGCCTTGTACCCATCTTGAACCTACAGTGGCACCACTGCACAGGATCATGACTAAGATTATGCGGTTTCAGCGTAATGAAATGCTTGAACAGATTTTCAAAGGTAATTCTGACATGACCCCAATGTTTTTCTGTCTCAGTTCAGCTTATGCTGCTGAGGTCCTGTTTCGACCAGATTTTCTCTTGATGACGATTGGAAGCTGTTTGCTAGTTTGTCCTTGCTGGACTATCAATAGTTATTGAACATTCTGTGTTGGCGGTGATGGTTATGCTGATGGTAAAATATATACAATTTGTTTTAAGACCTTTACTTTTGAGTTTTTGGTTTAGCTTATGATTATGTACATACCAATTTTTGCTTTACTTTGTTTATGTTTTTGTTGAAACAAAGTGCCAGAGTGCCATTTCGTACCCCTTGGGGATCATAATTCACAGTTTAAGAAACTTTGCCGTTTCTTTTTAGAACAGCATTTTGAATGTTTTCAGTGCTATTAGTGTTACAATCTATTAACGTGCACATGTTGTTTTCAATTAACCATTCTTGACACATGTAACAAGACTGAAACATCTGTTATTAATATATGGAACTCATTTGTATGTAGTTAACATAGAATAAGTGTAGTATATTACCGATTATTGTTTGATAGTATAAAATAGTTTGTAGATTTTTTTTTTGGAGAATACGTTCTTTGATACTGTAACATTTGGAGATTTTGTGTAGTAGGTGCTCTTTAGTAGCAGTTCTGTTGGAAGTAATATGTGGCACAGAAACGTAACTTGTGTGTTGCAGCTCAAGTACAGTAGCATTGACTACCATTCTGCAAATGCCCCAAGGAATGCCTTTGTCAGTTTCAGAACTATTGCCCATAACCGCATGAGGAAGCCAAAAACCTCTTGAGCCTTTCTTTGAACATTTTTTTTGTTGGTGTAGTCTTGACTTCACTGCCTTGGGTTTAAAATTAACCCACAAAAGTAATACAAATGAAGTGCTCATGAATTTACTTTTTTTTTTCACAGTTCTTAAGAGGCGTTCACTTGTTTTTATTGTACGTCGATTATCTGTTGGTGAAAAAATAAGCCACGTAAATATCGTTGCGTAGCTGCAAGGTTTGTAATTTTAAATTCAGTGAGAACGCTGCCAGTCGGTGTTTATGGATTCAGCTCACACCCTTTTAAATCTGCTGTCAATCTATAACACTGAGAACAAATGGCTTCTTGAGTCTGCAGGGCAGGACAAACATATAAACGGGTGGGAAATGCGTTTTCACACCAAGGTTTATTTAAGAACCGTAATTTGGTTCTGTTTTATGTGTATATGAATTTGTTTTTGTGCTGCGTTTCTGTTTTGCCAAGATTGGTGAACAATACTCAGCGAAATTGGTGGTACTGTGCTATTGATTAGCAACATTTAGCAAAAACTGGCCTTTAAACCTTTATTCCTCATTTGCACACCACTGAAGCGTGACATGTTTGTGTTAAATAGTGTTTAAAACATGAGTGCCTTGTTTTACTAATTGTAACAACATTTTGCTCATCTTTTGCTGCTTTTCATGGCTAAAATACCCATCTTCACTGTGTCCTCCTGTGGTCTCTTCCTGGCAAGAAGAATGTCAATAGATATTTATCTGTAGGTGGGCTTTGTAGCGTCGAGCTGAATCGGAACAATCTCACTAAACCGTTCACTTGGGGTAACTGCATTGCAATTCATTCTTCAATGACTGAGAAAAAAAATCAGATGTATTATTTTTACGCACAGTTTAACAATATTGTGTTCGTTACACTGACATTTTAAAAAGCAGTTTTTTAATATTCTATAAATTTCAGTAATTCATTACTTATGAACTGTTTAATTTGGTGTTCCCTTGTGTAATAGGACTCGTACTAGATTGACCTTATTTTGCCTAAAGGTGCATCCTTAATTACGCTTAGTATTATTGCTGTTCCCTAAAAAATATGCATAGCCTTTAAAACATGTTCTTTAACCTTCAAATGTACAGTACTGGAACATTCCACATACCACATTTAAAATTCACCAACTTGAAAAAAAGCTGAGTTAGTATTTATTTAATGGATTATTTACTGTACATGTCTAAATATTTATTCATTAATTGTACCGAGTCATTTTATATTGCACTTGTACATTCCCAACAGCGTAATTGAAAGCTGTAGCCATGCAGAAAATATCCTGTTTACAACCGTTTGCCCATTGTGCTTCAGTCATGGTCAGTTTTGTTAAGGGATACTTAACAGCAAAGAGATGTTCCAAAACGAAGACAACCCCTTCTGTATAGAGACTCCCTCGTAAATAATCTGCCTACTGTCAAGTGGCTGTGTAGGTGTGAGCGTGCTTGGCATGCAGCATCGTAGTCTGCAAAGCTGGGCATCACTGACATTTAATGGAAAACAAGCCACCGCTTGTTAACTTTAGGGCTGGGAGACATCACCTTCTACATTTACATATGAATAATGGATAAAGATCAGTTCTTTATTGTGTTAAGCAAAATGAAGTAATTGCAATGTTGCATGTTAATGTTTGCATCATATATGACGCTGAAGCATGAGGATGCAAAGAATTGTAACTTTTTTCTCACTTTGTATGTTTAAGTTTTCTTTTATCATTGAATGACAAACGTTATAGTATTTTTTTTTAGCAATAAGTCTTATTAACAGTTATCTTTATACTGTCTTGATTCATGTGTGCTATTTTTTTTTTCTGACACTTACTTCCTGGGTATAGTTTCCAAAGCACAAACTGGGATGTGAAGTTTAGTTGGTCCCAGATTGTTTTCCTGCAGAAAACAAATGTACTGTTACTTCTATAGAGAAAGAGGATCCTTTGGGTGCTGGACAGGAAATATTTTTCTGAAAGTTGATGAATGTCTTTTTTCACTTTGCCGGACACATTGATAGTATTCCAGTAAGCAGAAAAGGCTTTGTATCTAAAATTATATATTTTTATTGTTGGCAATGCAATAATTTTTACTACTGTTAATAAAATAAAATAAACACATTGAAACGTTCAATATATTTTCCTTCTTCCTCCACTCTTCATTCCCAATCCTCGTCAGGTTGTTCAGCATGACTCTGAAGAAATTGATGGTTCTCAAGGATTTGGATAAGGAGTTGAACTCTGTGGTAATTGCTGTCAAGTTACAGGTAAATGCGTTTTTTTTAAATGTCAAAAACGAACAATTCTAAATTATTTGTTAAAATAATTAATTGCAAATTATGGATGATATAATGTTCCGCCTTGTTTATGATTCAGGGATCCAAACGCATCCTGAGGTCAAATGAAATCCCTTTACCTCCGAGTGGCCTCATCGAAGCTGACCTGGAGCTCACCTTCTCTTTACAGGTGCTATTTGATTAGCTTCTGTGATTGCCTCGGCCTTTTGCGAGTTGCTTGTGCAATATTTATAGTCTATATAAACCAAAGTTGGTCAATTTAAAAAAAATGTATCTTCAAATACACAAGTTGAGAAAAAAAAATCTACTTTTCAAACAGCAGTTCAATTACTGTTTTATTGTTTGTAAACTTGGCAGTCGTACAGGCTTCTCGCTGTGACCGTGGCAATGGATATGTGGTGTTTTTGATGCAGTATCCACATTTTCTAAAGCGGGAGAGCAACAAGCTTCAGATCATGCTGCAGAGGAGAAAGCGATACAAAAACCGCACCTTCCTGGGATACAAGACACTTGCAGCTGGCTTCATCAACATGACTGAGGTTAACTGAGACGCATATTAAACATTGCATGCAATTTATTGTTTTTTTTCGATGCAGCAATTCTGGCTGTGACGGTCCCACCTGATGACGGAGACTTGTGTTGCCTCCGAAACATCGTGATTTTTATTGTTTTATTTTTATTAAATTCATTTTTTACCTACGTGACTTTACCGAAAAAACTAAGAGTATTATTGTTTTTTTGTTTACTTTCAAAGTACATTTCAATGGTGGTTCCTTAATGTTAGTAAAGTAAGACAATCTAATGTTCTCATATCTGCATCAACTCATTACTGCCTAAAGGGCACCTGAGGTCGGTCATGAGACACGATCTTCTTTCAAGAGTTCTAATTTAAGGATTATCTCCGAAGGTCATTCCAGGGCGACTTTGTTTTTCTCATTAATCTTAACGGGGGCCTGACATCTGCATCAGTCTGCATCACTTCGCTTCCTGCTGGTTTTAAGATTAAAATGCCTTTGGCTAATGTGAACTCGGGGACCCACATGACTATTCTACCAGCTGCGTGGTTGCATTAAGTATGTCTGTTCACATCTATTATAGAGCTTATCATTTGATATATTGGCCTGTCATTTTACGAAGAGTATCTTATGCATACAGTACCTCCTTGGAGGACATGCAATTAATCTTTTTTTACTTTAAAAATATCTGTAACAGCCTGGTAAAATATTGATAACTGTGCTTGTTAGATGATTTATTGCTTACCTAGATGAATTCTCGCATTGAATGTGTTTTTCTGCCTAATGGTTCTTTGTTAAATATATTGTGTTTTTGTCATTTTTACTCTGCAATCATAATGGTTTTTCAAAAACATTAAATATAAGTGTTCATGTAAATATCTGAGCAGGATCGATAATTAGATTTGTTGATGTAGAATTCAATGAAAGTAGATTGTAATAATTGCATACAAAATATTGTTACTAACTGGCATTTAGGATGAAATTTGAACATCCCCTACAATGAGAGTCCTTTAGGGACATTGGCAAGTGTTCACATGGAGCAATTCTGTTTTGGCCCAAAACACGATGTGGTTGGCAGCACCACGTCTGGCTGCCATTAATCTTTGTCTTGGACGTACATATTTGGGTAATTATTTGAAGTCCGGTCGCTTTGGGCAGACATTAATGAGTACACAAACTAAACGTGCATCTGAATCTCTGGTAACTTAAACGTACAGTTCCTGTGGTGCCTGTGAAATTATTTGTATTTGCTTCAAAGATGTAAAAATGAAAATAAATAGTAACGGTGCAAGGAATAAATAATTTTTAGATCCTTTTTGCATTATACCGCTATGAAAGTGTTATTGCAATATTATATTCTGTCGAGGCCTGGTCCAAATTACTTCAGCAGGGGCATGAGAAAGTACCTAAACGTGTGAAACCGCCCTAAAATCATTCATTTTTCATAGAGACCTTAAACCAAAGCAATTCTGAATTGAAGGTGATGCAGCACCCAACGGATGGTGGAATGGTTCTGGGGCTTCATGGCAACATCAAGGAGTCAACAGCTGGGCGCTCGGCAGAGATCTGCATCTTCTCCCTGTCAAGCCAGCCTGTCGACCAAGAGGAGACAGTGGGGCCTGGTGAACGCAAGAACAAGGCCCTAGGTATGCCTCTTGCTTTACAATATGGAATTACATTTCTTGTAAGCTATGAGTGGAATGAAGATTTACTATTCTTTGGTTCTTTCGGTTAAGTCACAGTCTAAAGATAAAATAATAAATTAAAATAAAAGCATATTACGACGTTTCGATTGCAACACAAGCAATCATCATCAGGCAAAAAAGAAAAAGCAACAAAAATCTAACTAGAAAACTATAGACAGACATACAAGCAGACAGACATCACAAGGACACACAGAGAGAGGACACATATCGGCACAAAGAGAGGGGTCGTTTCTGTGACGGTCCCTTAAATATAGAGAGGGGGGCAAGGACGGAGAGAGGGAGGGGGCAGAGAAAATTAGCATATCAATGAGTGGACTGCAAAGTGCTGCTGCTGCGCAAGTAAGATGACGACGTGGCACGGCACGCAAAGTTACTATATTTGAAAAGTGCCTATGCACTGCTTTGTGTTGTGTAGCAGTTGGTCACATGCTGTGGGTGGTGTTTTTTTGCATTTTAAAGCAGAACTCTTGCAATTTCCTTTTTGTGACCAAGACTGAAAGTTTTTGTATCCACTTACATTTGTTGTGCAACAATGTAGCGATTTTTAAAATCCATTAACAAATTAGTTTTCGGCTTGGTAATTGAAATGTAATATCTGTTCACAATCTCCGTTATACTATAGTTTTGTTTATCTACATTGTTCAAAACCTTTTGCAACATCTTCTCTCCATATATAAACATTACTCTGGAAAATTTCCACTTTAAAGTTTTATTTTATACAATATTCACACACTGGTGCCCTTATTCTACATACACTGTTCTGTGCTTTATGACTTTTATATGATTTACATATTTTAATTTGAAACCTGATTACAACTTTCTGATTTGTATCTCAGATCGCTCTGCAGATGCAGATAACTACTCTGAGGATGATGATGAGAGCTTTTCGTCTGAACAGGATGCAAGCGATGAACATGTACAGGTGGGAACGGGTCCATCTGCATTATGTAATGATGCTCGCCTTGACAAGTATTTATTAAGCTTGTGTGCTGTATTTCATTACACCACCTGTTTACGTCTGTGAAGCTTAGAGCACAAGATAGAGTATCGAGTTGTAGCAGAAATGCCAGTGCAAGTTATCATTGAAGTGTGCGTATAAGCTACAATTAGGGCACAAGCTATCTCACTGCATGATTAAGGCAAGCTTGTTTTGATTTGCCTAGTTGGGTAATTATAAACCTGAAGTCAAGGAGGTGGCATCTGTTTTTCCCTTCTAATTTTAAGTATGCAATAATGCATGCGCGCCAAGTAACGCATGCTGCGCTTTTATTTTTACTTCTGCTCCCGGTGGGCTGCGCAGGACATGTACGATGATTACAACCTCTCGGGCAAGTCAAAGAAATCGAGGCACAGAAAAGTATCCAGAGCGATATCCCTCAGCCGGGTTGGTATTTGAATCCTTGTGGTTTTTTAAAATAACAATTAACATGTATTTTTTTCAGGAAAGCCTCAGTCTCGGCGCGCTTGGTTTCTTTTTTTTTTCAGGAGTGACCTGCATTGAGTTGTTAGGCTAGTGTTTTTAATGTGTGTTGTGTTTGGAAGAAAATTTGAATGCCCAGAAAATCCGACATATAAGAGAGTAAAATGAAAAGGTTTGCATAAATTATTTGATGAAATTGCTTCCTGTATAGCTATATCTTGACAATCTCGCAACCTCAGGAGGTTTAGGAAGTACACATGTACACTATGCACACACTCTAACCTCCACAATGCTTTATTACAGGAATGTGCTTTACCTGTTACTTTTCAAGGCCACAGCAGACTGATCAGATGAACTTTAAACACCTTGTTATAGATTTGGTGTGCTGCCTTTGAAAATATGGTTGTCCTCAATTAATGGAATTTGAAAAAAGTATGTGCCATGTATTGTGGAAAACCGTTTTTTAACTTTTTTTGCAGTTTTATTTTGGGGCTCTACAATCAAATCTTTGGAATGGCTATTATAATTATGGCTGTTTAATCTTTAATGTACCAAAGTGCTTTTGCACAAGCATTGATTTTGTGCAAAGTGATAGTTTATAATTTACTTGGATTTTCACAAAGGATTAAGCAGTGATTTTTGTATGCCCTATCACTGTTGTACAGAAGGATGCATTGTGAAACATGATATAAAAGTGCACACGGTCAGCTGAGTACAATTAGTTTCTGGCAAATGTCCATTGCTTTGAGTTCCAAGTTGAGGCTGAATATTGCTTTGCTTGCTGACATACATGTTTAGCAATCTCCTTGTGTTACAGACACCAGGGAGGTTCTGGCATTCCTCCTGTCCCATCGAATTCTAGTGTGTCCAACCATACATTTTAAGTGCTTCACAGTAATGGCTATGTTAAACTGGGATGTATTCAATTAATGGTTCCACGAAACTTAATATACATGACACCAGCTGTCGTCTTAAAATGACAACCTAATTCATTGCCAACCATGCTTTGACATACCATTTTTAAGCTTTACAGATGAGCAAAAATGACGTCAAAGTCCATCCTTTGTTTGAAAAAATAAGTTTGCAACATAGGGTCTGAAACCCCTTGGATACAGTGGCAACATTTTTGACTTTAGTACCAATTTAGTCTCAAAGATATCCACTTAAGACATTCTGGCTTCAGGAGTGCATTTATCTGATCAGCATGTGTACTCGCTTGACTTGCAGCAACCGAACCTGAAACAAAAAGTGGTGGCACTACTTAAGCGATTCCGTGTGATGGATGAGGTAAGTTCGTAATGTAGAATGCAAATAATTCTCATAATGTACCGCAGGTGTGTTTTTAAATGTGGTGGTATATAACGGCTTACTTTTTTTGTTAACATTTGCAGACTTATTATTTATCTTTGGGGAAAGTAAATGGTGCAAGTTTTTTTTTTACTAGTTACAATTGCAAGATCAATTAAACATTTCAAAAAAATTGTTGGCGAAATAGATGTAAGAGGTGTGGTTGATCTGCACTGATTGTACTGGTTAACCTCCTGATTCAATAAAATGTCGCGATTTCAGGATCATGGTTCAAGATTTCTTTTTAGTACTATACTGTCTAATGTGTACTCTCTTATTCTGTCTCATTGGTGATATTAACCTAAAATAAAAATGCGCGTAATATTTCAATCATATGAAAAATAATACTGTGCATCCAATTAATGCATGTATCATCAGTGTAAGAATCGATTTTAATCGATGAATTGTTACATGTCTGCTGTGCAAAGTGTAGAAAGCATTACATCATTGTCCTTTTCCAGGTACTTCCCGCTAGTATACACATATATATTTAGGCCAATGTTGCCATAGGTTTGTGAAGGTCATGCATTGTCATCGTAGAACCTGGACCTTGAGCAAGAGCCGGGAGACCAGACCCGTGAGATGGAGGAGGAGGAGGACCTCAACTTGCTCTATGACAGCTTGGAGCTCGACAACCCGAGTGACAGCGGGCCTGATATGGATGACAATGAGAGCGTCGTCAGTGCACCAAAACCAACGCTCAAGTGAGACCAAAGTGAAGCGCCTACCATCACTGTGAAAACACACACACACACACAGGCTGATTTTAACAAGTATGAGTGTTCGTTTTTATCCGATTTTCTTGGCAAAAACAAAATAAATATAAAACGGCGCACAAACAAAATCCACATTTTTTTTTTATTCACTTTCCAGCAACAAATGTGGGCTTGGGACAAATGTGAATATGACCCAGAGGCAACTGTATATGTATATGCACACAATAATAAGGTGCCATTACCACCAGACTATATTAATAACAGGCACACGACAAAACATTTGTAAAGTACGAACACCTTTTGATTACCCAGTGTAATCAGATGTGAAGGGTATCCCAGATAAAACAAAAACATGAATAATGCAAAACATATTAATTGCATTATTTTAAAACATTTTTAGTTTACATGTTTAGAATAAGGGTGCAAAGGTAGAATGTGCCATCTCTTGTTCTTGATTCTTAAAGTAATCGGTTGACTTGCTATGTTGCATTGACATGGGCTCAGTCACTGATCCTCTAAGTGAACATCAGCTATAATTAGACCAGAATGCACATAAATATTTCCCAATTCCAGTTGGTCCGCAACTTGGATAACACTGGTCAACAAAAAAAATCTGGCCTGGACTTTTGCAGCTGTTTTAGACTTATTTCAGGGTGCTGATTCCAAATCTGATCTCAGATTTGCTCTATCACATCTCATTGTATGCTATTGGCATACCCCATTTTCATTGATTTTACCCGAAATTAACTCTGTTACTTATGATTGCAAGTTGTTGCGAGTCAGTGACCGCTTTAGTGTTAAAATATGTTGCTGTATTTTTAGGATAGTGTGTTTATAATCTCATTTTATGTAGATATCCACATTTATTTAATATTTTTCTTCCGCAGTTTGTATTCAAAATGCAATATTTGATATCTCAAAAACCTGATGTGATAGACAAAAACTGATGCCAGATTTGGAATCGGCACCCCAAAATTGCATTTAAAACCGTTGGAATATCTTATGACAGAAAGTGTGACCAGTGTAATCCATCCACAGATCTTCCAGAGAACTTGTGCAACTGAAAACGAAAAGGAGAATTCACATGTTTGCAAATTTTCCTTTTTCATCAGATTTTTGCCAAAAGTTTAAGACGATTTGGCAAAATTCTAAGGTGATTTTCATAAAAATGTGAGTGGCGCATGGGCAAATGTGCATGTGCCTATGTAATTTAAGTGGAAATTTTTTAAGTGTAGTAACGTAAATGGAGTCACTTTGGCATATAGCGCTAGCTACTGTCACAAGAGTGGAACTGTGCGTCTTGGGCCTCTCTCTGGCACCAGAGTCGGTATGGCATGGAAGCGGGCCCTAGAGGGCAGAGTTATGGTGATGGTCAGAGAGAGAGGGCAAGTCGGGACGTGACAGTCTGGATGAACCTGAGAGGGCACGTGACCAGGACAGGGTAGCGAGGGGGGCCCAAGGGGTGGCTTGAGGGACACGTGATACTCGGTCGAGAACCTTCTGGTAAGATCCAGAAGAGAAGGTTGTGGCCGAAGGCGGAGCGACGCCACGCTCGGGAGCATAAAAGGGAAGTCCCGAGAGCGATCGCCGCTGTCTTCTGGAATCAACCCGCCATGCTACGTCTCCTCGATCTTCGGTCGTCACGTTCGGCATCGTGGGTCAGGCAGTACGTTACTGACCTTGACCCGGTTATGTAGTTACCCTGTTGGGTTGTAGATTAAACGTGTTGCCTCCAAGTTCAAGTGTGTGCCTCTGGAAACCACTACAAAAGTAATGCAGGTTTTCAAAAAGGTGGTGATCTGTATTGCCTTAAGTGTTTTCAATGTTTAGAACACTGTGGCCTCTGCCACATATTGGCAGTTTGTTAAATACTTTAGATGTAATCATTCATTGTGCACTATTCATACTTGCACTCGTTGCATGCAGTTGTGTGTAAGAGGGAATTACTTGCATTTGTATGTTGAACTTCTTTCGCACCGTACGTAGCCAACGTGCTAATCAGAGGTGCGATTTTTTTTAATGCAATATAGGTTATTTAGATTAATTCTACTAGATTATGCGTGTACCACTGCCAAAAAATTATGAAAAAAATGTAACTTTCAACTGTAACAATTTAATGACTTGTGCAGGGAGTGAATCCTTTATATCACCATTAAATACATTTAAACGTGTTAAACATTTTCAGGCCATTTTTTCAAGAGGTCTCTAACTCAAGCTCTCAGACTGAAATTGCCAGCATCAAAAGTATGAAGAGCCAGCCCAGGGAAGTCGCATGCCAGGTTAGGAATCATCCTCGCAATTTCAATATAGTTTTAATATTTTGGTGTAACATTTTAATAATGAGCATACAAGGATAAAAGTGGTGTCGATATGGGAAAGAAGTACATCGATCCCACATTAATCATAATCGTCTTGAGAAAAACGAAATGTTGTTTATGTTTTCCACAGTTGTGTTTGGGCGGCTCTAAATGCCCACTGGATATACATGAGGACATCATGCATAAATATATTTGGGTTAATAAGAGTTGTAATTAAAAAGGAAACTTGGGAAACGTCCAAGGATATAAAATGTTTAAAAAAATGAAGACATTACTTTTCACTCTTGATGAACGTTATCTCGTTGCTTTCTTCCGTTGTAGTTTTTCACCTACCATCACCTCATTAGTACTTTTGAAGCTAATATTCAATAGATTGTTAATTCTCTGAGTGGAATTGTTTTTAGAGTTTTTAAATCAATGTTTGGCATAAACGGCGGCTTTTCATATCTTGCTGCAGGTGGAAAGCCCAGATAAATTGTTGGTTCTTGAGAGGAAAAGGTTCACCTCCGACACAAGCACAGATGAATGCCCGCAGGTGGGTCCTCTTAAAAGCATTGTTTTATCAACAAACTAAACATTTATTTTGCGTATTGTTGGTTTTATTTTAGATTTATGGCATTCGCTAGCACAAAATGGGAATATTTGGTAGGACAATTTCTGTTTTATCCACCACTTAATAGCTTTGGGCACTTGTCCCAAAACACATTTGTCTTATTTATCGCCTTCCAGAGGCAGTGCTCATTATTTTCTATCACATTTAAGCTGGACTGCGCCACCAGGGCAAGGCATAATTTATTTAAGTCTCATTGTTTTGTTACTTTTCTGTTTGTGAATAGCCAATGCCGTTTTTTTTGTGCTTTAACTTACAGCTAATGATAAAGAGGCACATTTACTTTTGAGGCCCAGTTAATCTTCACTTTATAGTCTGTTATCAGCACAATTCTAAATTAAACTATTCCCTTGAAGTTACATAGCACTTGTGCAAGTTATGCATGAATTGTGGACAATTGCTTCTGTCCTCCCTCCACTGTGCCTGACCAGGAGCTGAGAGAGACGGACACGAGCCCAGGCTCGGAGTCGGGTCGTGTGGAAGCCCTGCTGGAGAGGCTTCCTCCCCGTGGCAAGATGAGCCGCACTGAGTCCCAGATCATCACCTCTCCCAGGTGCATGAATAGTACAGATGTAATGATTCAACTATTTTCTGAGTCGCTGGTAGACTGGGAGATGACACGTGACACACATCCACAACCGCAGTGAGAGGGTACACTAGATATAGTGAGCTGGGTGAGGAATATATATATCGCGTATCGGTGACCCAGACAGAGCCGGCTGAAATTCAGCCTGGTATCTACCCATACTGACGTGCTCTTAAAACCAACTCGGGAAACAAAGGGCCATTGGATTCCAAGAAGGCATGACTTGAATGTCTGATGAAGTTGATTTACACCTGCAGTCAATACATGCCAGCACATTTCACTCACACAGCTTCTCTCTGGACTCTCTGTGCAGTAGAGTGGAGGTGAGGGCGTCGCTGCGCAAAGGACGGAGCTCGTCATTGCGGGAACGGTCAAGCTCTCGTCTGCAAAGTGTCCGCGCCAGCAGCCTGGACAACGACCAGAGCCCCGACCCCCAACTCATGCAGGCAGGCACCTGGTTGACTTGGATAAAAAAAACTAATTCTTTGCTTTTGTTTATCAGCTTTTTTCTCATATGAGACTTCTGACTTAAAAAGCCTGTCCATGCTGTGTTGGTCACGGGGGTTGTTTGACCATACTTCAATATGTGAGTGTGTCATCCATCAATGGTGCACATTTATGCATTTAATGACAAACTAATAATGTAGTTCTCAGAGTTGGAATTTGATTAATTCCATGTAAGAAAAATGGATATTATGATTTTTGTTCATGATTGATCAATGTGAGGTGGGTCATCCATCAATGGTGTGCATTTATGCATTTAATCACAAACTAATATTGTAGTTCTCAGAGTTGGAATTTGATTAATTCCACGTAAGAAAAATGGATAATATGATTTTTGTTCATGATTGAGCCCAGACTCTACAATTGTTACACCAAGAACGTAATTTAATCACGAAGGATTTTAGTGTCACCTAAACAAAACATGCCAATCCGGTACTAGTTCAACACACCGACGTGTTGGAGAGTAAACCCACAGCATTTAAAATTTGAGTAAGACGACTTTCGACAGTAATTAAAATCAGCCTCATCGGGCGACACCCAGTGTTGTGAAAAAATCCTGTTGCATACTTGAATAGCTCTGAGCTTTATTGGATTCCTCCAGTGTAAATAAAGATTCTGATTCTAATTTGGTACAACACCGCAGTCCATGTAATTGTGGGTTTTGTGGATCAAATCGACAGGGCTGAGACATGAAAGCTGTGTGCGCAATATTTGATTCGAGGTGGTTTGTAATGCTCTGTTGACAGACCCCGCAGCGCTCGGTGTATGAGCAACTAAGTCGAATCCTTGGTACGGAAGACCAGCTACCAGAGAGTGTGATGCTCATTAACACGGCTGACTGGCAGGGACAGGTAACCAGAGTGATTTTTTTCTTTCTTTCTGTTCCCGATTACACATTAGACGTACATCAAACCCAGTCTATACAGTAAACACTTGAGTCGGTGTAGCCATGGCTTCTTGTTATATATATTGTTTCAAGATTAAAATAAATGACCTTCTTTGCTTTAGGTTGCCTAATAGAATATTTGTGTGCTTGCAGAAAAGCCCAAGGTATTTATTTTGAAGTTTGCTTTGGGTTCTAATGGAAGCACAGTCTCCTTTTGTGCCATTGTTTATTCATGCTTTCAAGTGAAGCGTAAAGAGGATGAAACCTGATACTTACGGAACATGATAAGGGACCCAATAGAAAGTTGTCACAATGAAAGGCTAGAAGTACACCAGATCATTTTGAAAGCTAATGTGAAACTTCATTTGTAATTGTATAGTTAAAATAATAGACATTATTTTAATTACTGTATCTGTTTTGTGGTCGGGGGAAAAAGAAACATTGCGTTCTTTCGTAGTAAACCAGATATGCAGCTTTATCCTGTTGTAATAGTTTCATTGTCTCTGTCTCTACTCCCATAAACCAGTACGTGTCGTCCCTGCTTCAAAAGGACAACCAGCCAGTAGTGTGCACCGCCTCCCTGGCCGACGTGCAGGCCGTGTTTGTGTCTCTCGTCTCCAGGATACAGCGATTGTGAGTGGCCGTAGATCCTTGCTTGCGCTTGAACATCTGAGAAAAAGTGGTGGAATTTGTATCCTCATTTTATTGTTTAATCCTTTCAGCTACTGATGCTGTGACTGCTGTACCAGTGCATATAGAAGATGAAGTGTGTTCTTTCTATTGTAGATCTTAAATAGAGATGCTTGTTTTGCTGCATGGGTCATCTTTACCCGGATTCTATATTTTTAAAAAGTGAACATTAGTAGCATTGATTATGATAGACATGATGATATTACACTATTTTTTTTACAGATAATTGTTTAGTTGAATGACAATACAAGTGTAATGGAATTAGTGGAATAAGTGAGATACAACGTACAATACACAAAACGCAAGGCCCAGTATGAACAGGACAATATTAACGAGATAAATATAATTATGATCCCAAATTGTGACATTGCGGGGGGCGGGGGGGGGGGAATGTGAATCCTTGCATGCCTAGTTATACCGTCACGGCTAACTTATCTATTGTATATTGGCACGGCTTGCCCACTTTGCTTGTGGTGAGTAAACTTCTCAACCGTTTCCCTTTCTGCTCCTGGTGGTGTGAACATAGCTGTAACTCAAACCCGCAGACACCGGAGCCCATCCGTGTGGCGGTGGTTGGTGACCTGAGCCACCTCCACGCCGTCCTCCGCTGCTTTGTTGACCAGCTCTCTCAGAAGACCTCCGACTGGCTCGGATTCTTGCGGTTTCTCATAATCCCACTTGGTAAATGATGTGCGCGAGGCTCTGGGGTGGTTGTGGTGTTTTTGTAAGGTTTTGTTGACATTTCGGTTTTATGTATTTTTGAAATGGCCGAGACCGTATTTTCTCGAGTGCTGTCATCAGCAAGCCTAACGTGTGACCTGGGTAGGCTACATGAGAAGGCTTCCTTTTCAACTGCATTTGCTGTAAAATCTGAGCCTTTATCATTTTTTCACCAAACATGGATGTGTGTTAGGTGTACAGTTTCATTTATTATGCTTGGTTGTAAAATGAACACGTTTGATGTGCAAATTGTAGTAGGCAGCAGCACTTTCTAAGCCTGTCATGTATCATAACTTGCATACTGGTCACATTTATGTCTAGACAAGTGTGCTGATTGGTAGCTACCCCTCTTCTGTATCTGTCATAATTTGAACATGCGATGATTTTTTTGTGTCAATGGGTCATGCATAGGTGTGTCCTGAATACTTAATATAATGTGCTACTTATACGATGATAATAACATCAATAACTTTTAACACGTTGATTCGTGATTGATTTTTGCGTCTGTTTGTAAAAGTTAAATGTTTCGCAAACCTTCCTGCACCCGGCGCAGCCATCCAATAAAGTTTTCACTCGGGTTTGAGAGCAATCTCTCACAACATTTAACAATTGGGTACAACGTTTCATTAATAGTTAAAACCAGCATCATCAGTCAGTTTCCAGAATTGTGAAAAATGTCCTCCAGTCTCGGGCATGAAATAGGGGGTGTGATATCATCAATAACCTTCATTGTGGCCACGGACGATTAACGTTTTACTGTCTAATGTAACTATCACTGGTCCCGCTTGCATTTATTTACTGTAGTGTGATGTTAGCCAGTAGCACTGCATACCATTGTGATGAATCTCACTGATTTGTGGGTGTGCCTCCCTGCGTAGGCTGCCACGGCTTGGCTAAGTACCTCGCCTCTCTGGACAGCAAGTACGGGGGTGTGTTCCTGGACCCTGTGTGGCAGGAAATGTTCACCCATCCGGAGCCTCCCACGACAGGTCAGTTGTAATGTACATTCAACAGCTCCTAGGGCTTTTCGTGTTTTAAGAAGCAGATACCATCCTATGCTTTTTAAAGGAAGCTTCAACCCAAAAGCGTACTTGGGTTGAGTAGCACACCAGCAACATAAAAGTGATGTGGTTACTGTTCATGTTCACAGGATCACTGGAGTGATTTTAAGAGAGTGTGTATGAAGTCGCTTTATGTTCTTTTCATATATACAGTATGTTGTTTCTAATTTATGAAGCCTCACATGTGTGGGACAACCTGAAACACAGCCTAACTAAATATTTGTCACATTACACTCTTGTTTCATTCTTTCAAGTCAAGGTTATTCCTACAAGGACCTATTTTATATATCCCTTATTTTTTACTATTAAAATTGCCAATTATTGTGAAATAAATTAATACCATTTGAATCTGTGCTTTGAAGTTTTCCCAAGGTGTGTTTGCACACTTAAATTTAAAATACACACAAGCCAATCATTTATGAGGCTATAGAAAAATGTTTTTTTTAAGCTAATGATTCACAAGTGAATTGATTCATGTGTACTCTTATTCCCTTACTGTTGTAGGTGCCACTCATTTTACTCCTTTTCATCTTGCTGTCAACGGCCCCCTTTACTGTTTCCTCAGAAATTAGTTGTCACAAATAATGAAGGAATGTGTATTTTTTTATGTGATATTGTTGGCTGACTGGAACGTTTTAATTTGTATAACAGAGCCGCAACGATGATATTATTGCAATGTTTTCTAATTCTCTTCCAGATTTACTTGATGTTACAACTCGCATCGTTGGGTATATTTCCGGGGCTAATGTGACTCACCCGTTGCCCATAGCAGAAGCCATGCTGACCTACAAACAAAAGGGGTAATCCGATGAAATCTCATTACTACGCATTTTTTTTTTAGTTGTAAATCCACTTCATCAATGCAATCGCAGATTTCATTTATTTTCATTTGCAGTGATTTCATGTTTTTAATCCTATTTACGTGATAAAAATGGAAAATCCATTCCTAAAGATTTACGTTAGTCTTGTTCTGCAACAACCATTGAAATTACCATGAGTAGCTGCTTAGAAACGTGTGAAGATTTCTACTGTAGAAGTTACAAAATAATTTAGTCTAACACTAGGCAATCCTGCTTTGAGACAGGTTCTTTTAGTAGAGACCTCAAATAAGGTTTCCTTACCTCAAATGTAATCCTACAAGGACACATGATAGTTGTTTCCGTTTACAGCTTTACATTATCCTTTGCCACGATTTAGCAAATTGTGTTATGCTGTTTGTAAATCAAAATCTGTGTCTACACAGCAGCACCATTGAGTTTTCCCCCTGATGCCCCCAATCTTTGGCCGTGTTTGATGCTTGTCTGGCACCTTCCGCTCTGATGCACAATTGCGCGTTTGAGCTTTCCTCTCCCTTTTTGTCAAGTGGAAACGTACAGCCCATTGCCTGCAGGGACATGAGGCAGTAGCACTGAACACGGCGGTTGTCCAACACCCCCCTAGAGAGTTGGCATATGCAAGTCCTTGCAATTTATAAATGCTACGGATTTGCTTGCCCACACATGCCGGCGGAGCGCTGTGTCATTGTCACCAACTTGAGTGTTTTCTCACATCAGGAGTTAGCAGTAACATCAACAAGTAACTCTCAAGTTTGTGTCCCTCCTCCACTGATTCAAAAGGAGGGGGAAGTTACAATTTCCCAAAGCGCACTGACCATTATCAGTTGTTGCGGCACCTTTGTAAAAAAAACAACCTATATTTGTGCCAAATTAGATACTTGTGAATCGCGTTCAGAAAATGGTTTTCCATAGAATGAGTTCCTATTATGCCAGGAAAATGTTTTGGCATTACGCCAAGTGTGAAGCCAACCTGTAAAAAAACCCACTTATTTCCTGCCATGGCCTGTTTCAGGATGTAGGGATTCTTGTTATTTTCCTATTATTGGTCCACACCATTACTCACTTTGTAAATGTCAGCTGTATCACACCCCAGCGATTGTGCGAAAATAAGTTGGATTTTTTTCCACTCAAGAATTCTATTCCCTTTTGTGTGTAGAGTAAAATGGTTATCTAATGAAGTGTCAGTAGTACAGAATCTCACAAATGCACCGTTTCTCATTAAGTTACATTTTTGCGTAATGCTTTTTTCACAACCTGCTCCACAATAAAACATCTCTATTATTGTGTTTTTGTTGACGAATCCTCCAAGAATATTTGACCTCCCTTTTTAGAGGACTTCCCTGAAAACATCTACACAAAAGAGATCGAATGAAGTATGGTGCCAATATTAAAAGATGGTTAACGTGAGCAATGAGTGAGGTAGTAAGATATAACACCCAGAGTACAAAACAGCTGGAGTTTAAAGAACTATTTATCCATGTGATAAATAAAACCAGTTTCTGAGTTACACTGTCTATTGTGGCGTTGTTTTCTAATTTAAATGTAGCTTGTTTTGCTATATTATTTTGGCAGTTGTAAAGCATAGCAATCAATGTCGAATATAGATTTGCCAGAAATAGTAAAATTTTCATTTTTAAAGTTACTGTGACACATTGTTCTCATGATGCAATTTGATTCTTTTAAATGATTAAAGCTTAATTCAGTGTTTTGATCATTCATGACGACAAAGTTTTAATCTATAAACACCCCTTTCTTAATACAGACTTGAAGAGGAGTCTTGTCAGAAGTTTATTCCCTTCATCAGCGTAAGTAGATGTGTGCGCATTTTTACGTTGTTTTTTTATGGTTGAGGCCCTTGGTAAATCTTTGACATAAAGCTTTCGCGACTGCAGGAATTCATATTCTTTGGGTCTTTCGGTTAAAGTCGCATAGATTGGGTTCAAAGTAAATAACAAAAAACTACGACGTTTAGATCGCAACACAAGCAGTCGTCATCAGGAAAAGGGGGTTAGCCTCCAAAGGCAAACAGTTTTTCAAGGTTTAAAGATGGGCGTAGCCCAAGTGTGACAGCAGCGTGGACGGGGCAGCTAATGTTAATGTAGGGGTAAAACAACACTGGCAGTGGGTCTCCACCAATCAAACGTCGTAGTTTGCAATCATTGAAGATTTGGTCCAACAAGGGATGCTGATGTACCAGCCCTGGTTAGACACTGCCTCACCAACACTTACTTCACCTGGAATAGAACATTCTACAAACAAGTTGAAGGTACCCCAATGGGTTATCCCTTCTCTCCAGTTGTAGCCAATGTTTTCATGGAAAATTTTGAGACTGACGCCATCCAGGCATCCACTGTACGTCCGTCCTTGTGGAAGAGGTACGAAGATGACACGTGTTCATCATCTGGCCATATGGCCGACCTGCTCTGAACCAATTCCTCAACCACATCAATTCCATACACCCAATGGGACATTCTGTCTACAGGAAAGTAACTCGTATGGATGCCTACCTAAAACCTGACTCCCACCACCATCCATCCCAGAAGAATTCCCTCGTCAGAGCTCGATGTATTTCCAACCATCATCACCGAGCCAGTAAACTGGAACACGTACACCAAGCTCTCAAGACGAATGGATATTCAGACTACACAATCTGTAAAGCTATCACCCCAACCGTTGGGAAAGAACCATCTGAAGACCCAATCAAAACCATCACCTTGCCATACATAGCAGGGGTCACCAGAAAGATTTCCAAAATCATGAGCAAACACAAGATCCAGGTTCGATTTAACACGGTACATAAAATTCGTGATCTGATCCCATCTGTGAAGGATAGGATCCCCGATATGCAATACCCTGGCGTCTACAAACTAAGCTGCGTCTGCGGCAGTAGTTACATTGGGGAAACTAAGCGACCATGTCTCGGACCGAGTCCGTGAACATAAGGCAGATCTGAAACACGGTAGGACCAATATCTCGGCCGTGGCTGATCATTGCTTTAATGCGGTGGGCTCACACTAAATTGATTTTCTCTAAGACGAAGGTATTTTGCAAACCCACTGGCTATCAACAAAGATTAATTCATGAAGCCATCCATTTATACAGACATAGACACACTTTCAACCGAGGAAGGTGGGTACAAACTCTGCAATCACTGGAAGGACGTTATCAACTAGTTTAAATCCTAACTGGCTGGAATGTTTCAATTTTAGACCTGGTAGCCCTTTAATTGGTGGAAGCCCACCACCAGGACATCACTGCCCACTATGACCATCACCACTAGCAGTAGCCCTTTATTGGTGGAAGTCGACCAGCACCATCATTGCCCACTACCACCATCACCTCTAGCAGCAACCTCCACCGTCAGCAGTGTGGGTGTGTGCAGCGAGGTGCAATGTTTGCCTGGTGGCCCTTTGATTGGTGGAGACCCACTGCAGGTGGCTTGTTTTTCCCCTATATTAACATTAGCTGCCCTGCCCATGCTGCGGACACATTTGGGCTACGCCCATCTTTAAACCTTTATAAACAGTTTGCCTTTTAGAAGCTCCAAAGTTAAGATTGAGGCTTAACCCCCTTTTCCTGATGACGACCGCTTGTGTTGCGATCGAAACGTCGTAGTTTGTTACTTTTCTTTGACCCTATCTATGTGACTTTACCGAAAGACCCAAAGAATATGAAGCCCCTTGGTAAATATATACACAATTGTAATAATATATTATTTTTTTATTTTTCAGATTGTTAACGTTGGGGTGGTTGAACAGATGACGGCTCCTATTGGTAACGTGTGCATTTCTCCTTGTAATTTTCTATGTTGGCTTTGTCAAATAATAATCACCCATTTTGCTATTTTAGTTTTTCTTTCCACTCGACATGTTTCCTAGTTCATTTTTACAAAGAATAATATTTTGAAGTGGACTATTAAAAATAATATTTCGCAACCTAAATTCCAAATGTTTGCATGCATCCAATGAACTATATAATCATGCGAGAGTGCCCTTTCTGCTACGTGTCTTTTGTAATGAAGACATCTATACAGTACAAAAAAAATTACTGCACTAAAAAATGACCAATGCAGTCATGAAAAAAGTCAAGAGACGACTCCAATATATCAGTAAACTACTTTGTGTGCAGTGATAGTATTGGCTGCCTATAAGTCAAGAATAAAAGGTTGTGATCTTCATAGAAATATTGTATTAGCAGTGGTCTGTTGGTACTCTGTGAATGGTCCACATTTATATAAAGAATAGTGCCGAGGCTTTTTATGTCTGACAGAAAATGTTGATGTAATGGGGCCCAAGAAGGGTCAATGATGCGTGCATTTCAGTGACAGGCCAGTCTGGCCATAATTCAAGATTTTTTTTTTCTTTTGTAAAAATGTATGGCGCTGTCCATATTTATTTTAGTGGCACAAAATTTTGGCCCTTGGGCTGCAACAAACCGTGTTGCCGACACATTTTAATTTAAATCAGCTAATCATTTACATTTTAAATGTAACATGGACTGGTTTTATTTTAGGTTTTGTAATAAATATCCTATTTTTGATAAGACCTAATTTAATTGACTGCTTCATGACTGCAAGATATGTGATGGATTGAACAAATTATTTAAATCTATATTTAAGATGCACTCTTTCGCCTTTCAGTGATTTACAGTTTTATTACAATTTGTTGTGGTGTCTGAAATAAATGCATTTCCTATATAAGTTTACTAATCCATTATTTATGGTGCCTTTCAATTTTTTTTTTACGAGTTTACATTAATTGTGCTTTGTCATGTGTGAAATTTGAAGACCACGCGTTTTCAGTGCAAGCCCTAAAGTCCCGTGACATTCAAAAGTTGCTGTTTTTCTATTGATGTTTTGTACACATTTCCATACCACACACGGATTGATGTAAATGAGCCCGTTACAGTGGTAATTCTATGGGGAAAGGCCGATGGAGTTTATTTGCCCCCCCACCCACCAATCAACAGAAGCCCATTCCTCCAGGGTTTTAGGATAGGTACTCGGGTTTAAGTTATTGATCACGATTTGTCAATGAGCACACGAAGGTGACACCATTTAATTGTGTGCCCAGCGGACATGGATGAGTCTTTGCTGTACCCTTCCGTGTCGCTGACCTCCACCCCGTCTACAAGCGCCATGGGCGGAGGTGGCTCCAAGGACATCTGCCCGACACCCCCAGCCTCTCCGTCTGTTGGGCCTTCCCCTGTCAGGTATCCATTGGGTGTTCTACGTGTACATCCACAGCCCCTTTGTGACAATCCACTGCTAGACGAGGCCTCCCCCACGCAATGTGGGTCATGGAGATTATTTATCCAAACTACCGCATTGGTCAATGCGGGTTGGTGAAGATGGTGAATATGTAGGCGTTAAAATAGATTTCAACAATGAAATTTGCTGTTGCTGACAAGAGAGTTCCACAGCAGCCTATACTATCTGTTTCATTTATAGTCACTCATTCAAGCAATATCCAGGCTCATCCCTGGTTGTCTTCCAAGATCTGAAATCGGGTGCATTGCAGTTGGTGAAGAGCTCGATTTAAAAACTGCATATTCAAATTAGAAAAATAGTTTGCAGTGAAAACCATGACCTGTGCCATACGAACACGGTAGTTTCCTGTGGCTACACTGTTCGTATAATGCTGGTTTTTGATATTCTGATAATAGTGAAGCCAAATAATCCTAAATGTGCCTGAGCCTTCTCAATTTGTGTGTGCAATGAATGGCCATGTGCGTCTCATTTATGTATAGAATCGAAATAATTAAAATTACGGATATTTAAGGATATTTGTCATACATTGACATTTTGCACATTCTCTGACATGATTGCAACAGATGAACCTTGCTAATATATATGTTGAGCACCATTTTATAAAGGAAGATGTAACTCAAAAACAAATGGCTCCTTGCAGATATGCATATAAGCGGTGATTAAAATTATGGTCTCGGCACTAGAATTTGTTGTTCATTTGCTCCAGGTCACCTGCTACTTTGTTGTGTTTTACACCCTTTCCTCTGTCTCATCACTCCCCTCCTTGCGCGTCACCCATAACTGCTGTCACTGAAACTCGCTGAGTGACCATGCCCATCCCATCCCCTCCGCACGCCTCCCATCTGCCTCTCGCCCATTCTCAGCTGGCAGGGTGGTGAGGTCATGGGGCTCCACGTTGATTACTGGACGGTGGCAGGTGCCGAGCGGCGGCGCGAGGGCGAGCGTGATCGCAAGGAGGGCAGCGGCAAAACGACACTGAAGAGCAACTTCCGCTCGCTGCAGGTCAGCCGGCTGCCCACGGGGCCCGGGGAGGGACAGAGCGCCACGCCCAGCATGTGCATGACCGTCGTCACCAAGGAGAAGAACAAGAAGGGTGAGCACAATCTTTTGGGATTCTCTAAGGCGTTCAATTACTTAATTTGACTGTGTGTGGTGGAGTGGCGGGAGTAGTCGTTGGCACATTGCGCTCCAAATGTGGTGTAACCCGAGTTCAACTTCTGCTAATGGCAAATATCTGAACTTGTCATAGACCTCCCCGAGGTGTACTCGGCCTTAAAATGTCTGTCTTGTGTGCACTAGGGAGACAAAGGTGTCTATAATAATGGTATAAATTGGATTTGTTTGAAATTGTATCCATTAATGTCGGTTATCTTGTATTGTGCATTGTATTTTGTTTAATTTCCAACTTCGTAAGTACACCCAAGTTGTGATGTCTTGTCTGGTAGCACAGCAACACGTTTCTCCACACAATAAAACATCGTCATTCAGCTATAAATTGTGAGCTGTTATTACCTAGAACTCCTTCAGAAACAAGGGGTTAAAATGGTTTCCCTCCCATTGTTTTATGTGTAGGGTAAAAGCAATCCATTGAATGTCGACCCAAATTAATTAAGATGTAGTCCTTGCAAATTCGTGGTATAAACCACGTTTATTGAATATTTGGCTCTATGCTGAAGATTAAACTAAAGTTAGGAATGCTTGAAATAAGCCTTTTATGACTCTTTCGATTTATTCAAATGTGTGTCGAGGACTTTTCACTTATAATGTAGTAATGTGTCTTCAGAATGTCGGTTGCATAAGAACGTTACATAACTTCCACTTGTTTGATTCATTTTATTTTTCAGATTTAATCGCAGTCTCTCGTTAAGTGTTTTTTTTTATTTGGTAGCATTGCCATCACATGCATTTCCGTTATACAAATATTCTGTAGGACATGAATAAGTGATTTAATTGCTGCCCATAAGCACCAGCAATACATATTGCCTTTTTAAGCTCTCTTGCTTTTGATTGTGACAGCGACGGCTCCTGAAATAATAGTAAATCTTCACACGTGGCAATGCAGGAATATTCCTGACCAAGAAGCCCAAGGAGAAGGACATCGAGTCCAAGAGTCAAGTGATCGATGGAATCAGCCGCCTCATTTGCGCAGCCAAGCAGCAGCAAACCATGTTAAAAGGTAGGCAACCAGTGTTTTAATATCAGGTGTGCAGGTGGTGCAGCTGCACTGGGAGGGTCAGTGGGCTAGAGGGGCCCAGGCACCGGGCGACAAAGCATGGTGAAGGCCAACAGGAGACCTCCTTGAATTCCTTGCAATGGAGCTCATGCCAACTACGCTTGGCATGGTGGATGCAAAATATTGTGTGCATCTTGCATCGTATATATATTGTACCTTGCACACAATAGTCATACTTTTTACACATGGTACCAGATGTATTCGTACATAAAATTTCATATTTTGACCCTCTGAAAGTTTACATATATAGTGGGTAGTGGCCAGGAGGTTCATGCAAGTGATTTGATTTCGGTAATGAGCAGCATCTGTTAAGATCCTGGGTTCGAATTCAGGCAACCACTGGTTATTCAACTGTGGGTTCTAGCAAGTTTGTGGTCTTAAGTCTCTCAAATAATGACTGCTTAAAAACACCAAGGTTGTCATTTCCATAATAAGACATAGCCCAGCTATAAAAAATACAATTAATTTTTTTTTACAACAATAGCTACTTACAGTGCATATTATTTCTCGATTGTGGATAGATACTTCAAACAGTTATCTGGCATCATCTTATACAGGCTAATGCACTACTAGCTGCGACAGTTCAGAATAGAAACGTGTTCATCCTATGACTTATATTTCTAATTGAAAACTGTGAATGTATTTTAGTCGGCAAGCCCACAGCCGCATTAAGTTGGCGTCAAACGCTGCTCCCTCCACGTCGACCCATGGAACGGCCGTAGCCACTCCGCGATCGGTTGTACTTTTAGACATGGCACCCACATTTATTTTCTCCGATCGTCTTCCCTCCCCAGTGACTGTAGATGGCGTGGAATGGAACGACGTCAAGTTCTTCCAACTCGCCGCACAGTGGCCAACGCACGTCAAGCACTTCCCCGTCGGGCTGTTTGCGCAGGGACGACCCGGGTGCTAGTGGCACGTCCGCCCGTGATGGCTACTCCTGAGTCGCAGTGGATCCTGCCTGGCAGCAAACGCGACACTGCTTGGACTCTAATGAAGAGAATTCATGTCGGGCAGCGGTAAATGAAATGGCATCATGTGTGTAATATATTTAAATTGCAAATGTGCACCGGTTGACTAGGAAGATTAGCATGACGGTGGTGATATTTGCTACCACAAATTGAACTGCACCTCATTTATGCCACCAAGTCTTGGTGACAATATGCAAAGAAGGATATTAACCCTTTCGCGTTCAAATGACGTGTGTACGTCATCAATTTTTCTTCAGATTTCCATTCTGATTACGTACGTGTACGTCATTGGAACGTAATAGATTCTGAATGGAATCGGATCGATTCTGGACTAAATGCAGGAGGGCGTGTGGCACAATTTGGCACCAGCTATCGTAGAGTACGGTCGTGTCGCTACAGTTCTCTGCGGTGAGTACAATCTTTAAAAACAGCATTGCTTTGCCACCTAAATAAAGTTAACGCTAACCGCTTGCGCGTTCCAACATTCAGGGGTGAATGGGAGACCCACCCTTACAAGTTGTCGACGTCTCGGAACGGGAAAGGGTTAATTGCTGCTATTTTATAAAATTTTATCTCATACCATCAGTTTCATTACTTTACAAATAGTAGTCCAACTATTAATCTGAAGAAAATATCTAGAAATTTTATTTTGCCATTTTATTTCTAACATGATGTATCAGTCTGTGATGCATTGACGACCTCATCCCTGGACTGCTTTTGGAGATTCGTGAAAATGATGGTATAAAAAACGTTATGTTTTAAAAATAAATCCGTACTCTTGCCCAGACAACTTACAAACTGGGCTTTCGGAGCCAGCCATTGTGTTTTTAGGAAAAAGTTGCCCTCTGCAAAAAAATTCCAATCAAATTCCCACTACGATGGAGCTATCATAAAAAAAACACGAGATTTACAGGACATCTCAAATTAGAAACACAAATACGGTACTGTATTATGGTACACAAATTGTTGCAACAGTATTCTTATTGTATAACCACTGTTTCGCTAAAGGCATTGCACAAACGTAAAGGGACATACTTTGATGCTCTGAGAAATTTCTGTTAAACATTTTTTCTTAAAACAGCTCGAATGCAAGCTAAGATTAGATTGCTTAACATGAGAACATTTCCTGACTTGCTCAGCATGTGACATGCAGTAGACAAAGGATAATACATTACAATAGATGACACAGCCATTAACTGAGTTGTCAAAACATCAGCAGTAAAACCAGTAGTCTTATTAATATCCTAGGTGTAATTGCCAAAATTGTTAACATTTTAATGCACTTGTGTAAATAAGTTACAAGCAATGCTCTGAGTTTAAAGGAGTTACAAAGGGCAGCAAGGGAATGTTTTATTTTGTTTCCTTTTTTTTAAATGCGAGTGTTCGGATGTGTGAACATACATTGGCAGAGTAAGCACAACTTATGTTGCAGATGTGTATTGTATATAAATTGAGTGTTCAGCATATTAATGTTACTGCAGGATACAGTAGCTTTGGTATCTTCAAGTCTCTAAATATTAACATGTTTTTTACCATGAAGAGCATGATATTAATCAACTCCATTTTACCATGCATTGTTAATTATTTGAATGCTTTGTTCTGCTGACATGCAGTTAGCACTGCACAGAGAGAACATTGGTGGGGGGTTATTTAGATTTGCACCTTTTTAATTTAATTTTCCATTGGGGGTTGAAAGGATGTGTGGCTGTTATAATAATTTGGATTGACACACCAGGACTGTATTACTTGGTGCTGGAGTATTGCGACGTCGTACAAAATGTTTGCCTCCATTGTTTAACAAATGTCACTGCCAAGCATATGCCACTCCCAATGCATGACACTATTTAGACACTATAGACATAAATGTGTGCTTTGCAAGTGATCATGCCAGCAAACGATAAGTAGCCTCCACATTTTATCCACCAAACAAGCCTAACTGCAATATATAGGACTGCAGTGTACACGTGTTCCAATAGCATAAAGCAAGACGCTTAACAACGATGATACAATGCTTTTCATTATTTAAATAGACCCAGCACTCCTTGCTTGCATCCTACAAGTTCCAGTCTGGCAAGTTTTTACAAAGGCATGTCAGGTTTTTAAATACTTGTAAGTGGATTGGCAGTTTGTTGCAACATTCACCGCAAATGTGTGAATTGGTAGACTTAAAGCTGCTCCAAGGGGGTAGAAGGTTGCAAAATGGAGTGAATTGTCATTTAGAAATGTCGATAGCATTAGTTATTGTGGTGTAAATTAGGCGCAAGGCACACAGAAATATAAAACTAATGTGGACTTGGCCAATTCTCTGAGAATGTCACATGCACTTGATTTGCAGTCCAATGTAGGTTGAGCAGTAGGAACAGATTGAAAAAAAAACTGACATGGGAGCAGACGTCTACAATGTCTTGTCACGGCATCGGCTTTTAAGAACCTATCTCGTCATATGACGGACATCTTTGCGCAATAAAACATACTTTGGGGGGGGGGGGGCAGGGGGGGGTAACGAGTCCACTGCAAATAAATCACTGCCGTTTAGAATAAGTGAAGATGCATTACAGGGACAACCGTTCTATCAACTTTAATTTAAGAAATGCACTACATGCCGTAACTGGATTTCCTGGTGGTGATGTTTTAGTAATATTACTACAGCAACTACAAACATAAAAGCTGTGAATGTCTGTACCCGACCTGAACTGGGGAAAGGCAGCAAAAAAGGGGCCTGTTTTTATATGCTGCTGGTCGGCACATGGTCACACAAACCCTTACTCAAAAGTAACTTGTGCATGCACTGTTAATGACCACTTGCTTCCACTCTACTCTTACCAGAGTACTCGGCAGGTTTATATTATTTTAGTTGAGGACGTTGCTTTTATTTACATTTATAGCCTTTTTACTACATCGCATTTGTAGTGTTTTTTTGTATCATGCATTCACTTGTAAGTGATGCCAGACACCCCCTTAACTGCACCGGTGAAGATGATTGCGTATGCGTGGCCATACGCGCTTCTCGGACACAGGTTTTTCTATTAAAGCAAACAAGTATTTAGTCGGGGGGGGGGGGGGGGAATGACTGCACATTGTATTGTTTGCATGTCATTTTAGGTTTTCCCGAATTTCAAATATGTTCTGGTATGACACTTGAAAGCCCTGTGTATTATCACGTAATATTGTTCAATGTTATTCTTCTTTTTGTTAAGTTTTTGTGTTTGCGTGTAGCCATGCAGGAAAACGTGTACTCCGTTTGGAAGCCTGCTTTGTTTTGTACCTGATCGAGTTGTCTGAAAATTTGCCAGCACATTTCGTGACAAGTTTTCTAAAACGAAAGTGTTACATTGTGCCTTTTTTCAGCGGTTTACTTAAAACAATATGGACACATCTTTCTCCTGTAGCACTGTGCTGCTTCTAGAATTAATAATATTGTAAGATTTGCCGTGTGTGTGTGTTTTAAAGCGTATCTACAGTAAATAACATGTAGTGATGTAGTCGATGTTGCGTGTAACCGTCTTTGTTGGAGTTAGCAGCGACAGGCTTCAGTCCAGATGAGGTTCGTAACTTGAGATGGTGGTACGCGGGTGGGGAAGAAATCATCAGGGTGAGTGATGATCAGACTCTTTCACTCCTGCATTAATTACCTCAACTGACCTGCCGTACCAACTCGTATTTATGCAGGTGGTGGGGTTATTTGAGGGCTGGGCAATTCTTTAGATGGGTGACAATGAATATATAACTTTACCCCCCTTGCCTCTTCCCCAAGCTCCCACCGGACTGGTTAAAAGCCTCCGTTTATTCTTGCCACTGCATATTAAAAAGGTATAGCTTTGATCCATAAGCACTTTAAACAAAAGCAAGTCGGCAAGCGCTAGCTTTGCAGTTTGCACTCTATTTTTTTTATTGGTTTAGTTAAAGGAATATGTCCTGAGCCCAGACATTAACAGGCAAACATGTAGTTTGTACTTTACAGGGTATGTATGCTGCCTTGTTTTCAAGTTTGCTGCAATATTTAGCTTGTTAGCTTGTAGCCCAGCAGGTTAACCTGTTGCCACTAACCAGCCAAAATGTTTGATGTAACAGTATTGCGAATGTTAGAGGAAACCAAGAAACTCGCAAGAAAATAACAATAAACTCGTTCCTGTGACTTGGCAGTGAGAAATTACTTTAATTCTTGTTTGTCACATTTCCATATTATTTGCTTACATATACACACACTCTCTGCGTTGGTGTTCACCTTTCAAATTTGTCAACTACTTTAAATATACAACAGGCTTTAAAGTATTGTCCTAAGAGTGTAAAAATATAATAGAAAATAAACTACAGTATAGAAAATATGAATGTTAAAATAAAACTTTGGACATTTACACAACGTATTCAGACTGTAAATTCAATAGAAAAATTGTATGCCTATGTCCAAGTGCTGTAATTTTATTTTAAAAAAGACATTTGTGGATTTGCTGTTACAGTGAAATTCCTTCCAAATGCACTTGCATAGCATGCATTTCTAATGAGCAGATGAACCATTTACTCTGATCAACGATGGTCAAACGGTACCGAACTGCCATTATTTGCAGCACCACGTGTTTAATGGTACCAATGGTGGTTGGGCAGGGAGGCAAATGCACGACTGATCCATGACAGGCAAAATCACATGGTTACAGTGGTGCCCAGCCAAAACCGTTGAGTGGCAAACAATATTTCGCATCCCACTCCTTGTGGTTGTCCACTGCATTCTCATAGCTGGTGTGCGATTTGCTCGATCTTGCGCAGCATATCTTCAGACTGTAGTTGCTCCAGGGTTAAGAGAGACAGTCCAAGCTGGTCCTCCTGCACAAGGAAGACATGGGGAGAAGAGACAAACTGTTTACACGGCTAGTGCCGGGCACAATACACTTGTGGTGCTCTGGGGAAGTTGTGGGAACACGTAAAAAAAAATGCAATGTGCCAATTCAACGGGGCATGCCGCCATGCTCTCACAAATTAAACCCTCTCGCCGTTTGTAACTTGCATAAAAGCACATCCATGTGCTCTTCATTTGTGGGATTTGGTGACGTGACAAAGTCAGTCATAGCAGAGCATCTGCCTATTTGGCAGAGGCTGATCGAGAAAAACGAAATTCTCGGTGGTACATGAAGAACACATCAGCACTGACACATGCTGTTCTATTGAACACTATGTCCATCGTTTTACTCCCTAAGCATGCAGTCGACAAGGTACCGTTTCCAGACGAAATTCCCACTGCGAAGCACAACCCGGGAAAACGAGAGAAGCGACCGCACAGCTGAACTGGTGCTGCACTGACGAATTAGGAGGGTTATCGAGATGCACGACGTTAGTGTGGTTGTGCGTTACCCGTCTGAAGGGCTGAGCCATGAGGCGCAGGAAATGCTTGGTGACCTGCAGCGCCTCGTCGATGGTGAGGTTCAGGTTCGCATCCGTGATGTGCTCTTGGATCCAGCGCGGCAATTTCCCTCGTTTGTCCGCTCGCGAATAGCGCTGGCTCACCCGCAGTCAGGACAGGGAATCAACGAGTTAATATGGAGCTACAGTCGAGGGGTAATTTCGGCCAATGCCATTGATGCGGCCACTCTTTGAAATCGCTTGCTTACCAGGATGCCAACAGAGGAGACCAGCCCAACAAACATGATGGAAATTTAGCTTAAATCAACTTTTGAGTTTCCTGTGGTAAGGGTGGGTGGGAGGGGTGACCCAGGTAAAACTAAAATATGGATGATGCAATACATGTAAATTAGGCTCTTGGCATGTATTTAATGTTTAGCTGTGTGGATTGGGGGTGAAGACTTAGGCTGTCATCTGTATTGCTTAAAGTACTTTATTGACTTGGCGACAGGTTTGTGGTCATGTGGGAACTGAGTTATGGACCACCGAGTGAGAATCGACTAATAAACCAGTGTGGGAAAAATAATTCATAAACACGGTTAATCTGCAACCAGGGTAATTGCCCATGGATTGCCCAACAGTTAACGGCAGTCTAATATTAGCTCCATGCCATAACAAAAAGGTAATCGTAGCCAAACACAATGATATAACCCTTTTATCAATTTGTTTGGTTTTAAATGGATTAGGTCCCCAACATTGTATATTAGAGTTTGGTATACAGTGGTTCCCTCATTAGTCACAAACTTTCTCTCCACGATTTTGGCAACCTGTGAGTTGCATTTGGAACTCTACACGATTGCATCGAGAGAAAAAGTGATGGAATACGATGCAAGAAAGTAGTAAGATAGTGATAATTTTCACGTATTTAATAGCTCATGTATTTAAGATAATTCCATAAAGTTTTCATTGGCCAATATCATCTGCAAAATTTGCTATTCACGATCCTCTCCGGCATGTATCCCTCGCGAATATCGAGGAAATGCTGTATTTGACCATCGTTATGAGAGTTTGTGTTGTCGTCCCCTCCCGGGCAGAGCTAATGCAGAAAGATTTTAACTTTGGTTGGAAAGTAAAAAAAAACATCACTTGTGATCACAGGGGTGGGGGGGAAGCAGCCCACCTTATCTGCAAACACCATGACGCCATAGTCGGTCTTGCCACGGATTGCACGCCCCACGCACTGTGCAGCATGCCGCATGGCATCGAATGTCAGGAAGTCGTTCTCCCGGATCTGGTAATGATCCCGCAGGAACTCGAGCCGCGCCTGAAGTCCAGACCAGGCACCACACGCTCGCTTCGGGTTCGCAAAAACGTTTCTGCACAAGTGTTACCAGTGTGCTGCCACCCTGTTGCCTAATATAACAGTATATAAAGTAGTTGTGTAACTGAACATGAACCGACTGTTTGTGCCCAGTGTTCGTTACCTTGAGAATTCTGCTCTGCGTGTACACGTACGGGATTCCAAACATGATCACCGCCCGCCCGTAGTGGTGAACTGTGGGAAGTGATTTGCAAAAGGTTTCGGCATTCAGTCGTGTCTACATTTCTCCTCGGTAAAGCCATTTGTTTCTGTCAGCCCTTCCCACACTCTGCATCTCAAAAACCTCTCGAGTCATCTTCTTGGTTCTTTCGGTAAAGTCATGCAGAATGGAAATAATAAAATAAAACCTAATTAAATAATTCTCACGACGTTTCGGCCACAAAGCAAGCAGCCGTCCTCAGGTGAAGACCAAGTCTGTCAGGGAGACAGACCTGGTCTTCACCTGTTTTATTTTATTATTTCCATTCTACGTGACTTTACCGAAAGAACCAAGAAGATGAATCCCTGCAGTCACGAAAGCTTTAAATCGAAATTTAACCTCTCGAGTGAATATAAAACGTAATGACGCTGTAAAATTTTGCCCTTCCAAACAGCATCATCGTCCCCGAGAAACCCTCGCAGGCTGAGTTGGAGGATTAGATTGCATTCTTTTTGTAAACCTCACCAAAGTCGATGCCCTCGGACACCTTGCCTCTGGCAACTGATAGAAGCACGGCTCCTCTTCCGTTTTCACAAGCCTGACAGGAGGACAGGGTGGGCGTGCAAATGACTTCATGGAAAACGCTGTGCTCCATTGCCAATACTGCCCACACACAGGTGATGAGTTTATTCACATTAGGGTCTCCTCTGGAAGTGGTGTTTTTAGGTTTGAATATACCGAGTCATATTTTGTTGTAGCTCCAAGCAAATTGAGATTTTTCTTTTCGATATGTATGTAGGAACTTATTTCGGTACCGTATGTAGCTAACCATGCTAATCGGTAGGTGGCAATGCAGAAAACCCCATGGTTGTCTTGTACCTCCTATGATCTCACGTTTATGCTCCCCCGCCCTCACTGACCAGCTTGGTGAAGCATGGTCAAATAACCCCCATGACCCACACAGGGCGAGGGGACCCTCATCGAGCAGTACACTGATAATAAGTATAACCCGTAAAAACAAAGTTTTTCACTATAAATCCTTTATATGCGTGGCGGCTAGAGTCCTCTCGTCCTCTGGCTTGAGATGGCTGCCACCTATGGGTCAGATGATTGTCTGCCAGTATTAAGCAATTGGTAATTAAATATTTAATTTGTTTTCCCTGAACAGTGTAAAATTTTGGAAAAAAATTTTCACAAACATTAATTGTCTCGCACAACGAGTCTGTGTGCAAAATGTCAGCTCGATTGGATCACGGGAAGTGGGTTAAAAAACGACTGAAAGATTTGCACGGTCGCAAGCAAGCAAGCAAGCACGCAAGCGAAGTTAATATAAAGGATTTAAAAATGGGCAAAATTAGAGTTTCATCAGCGTGGTTGTGGCGAGGCACCGCCGCCTTCGCTTGACCACCTGAATGTGAAATTGTGGTTTTTGCTCTGTATCTACATCAGCTGTATGACAGTATAAGACCACCATCGCAATGTTTGCCGAGACGTACACCGGAGATGTTTCGATTGGTGTAAGCCTTACCCTTCCAGCAGGAAACACATTTTACTTAATTATCATAACGCTCATCAGACAATGTGTCCAATTGAAGAAATTATTTAAATTTTGTTCATATACATTGGGATATCAGGCTATCGCTGAAAATGTATTGTTTGTATTACGTGTTTATGGTTTGTTGACCCAAGTCTCCCTCCACCCTCGGAGCACACTTGGAGTCTCAACGCTGGCAAAATAAATTATGTTACTGCCAATACGTCAACACTGAGATTTAATGAAAACAATGTGGTACTTCACAGTACCATCGAGCTGTGAATGTCGCCTTCAGTACCTATTTTTCCACTATACAGCCAAGCCAGGGCTATGCTAAGCTATCCCGGCATGACCCCTAAAGGTGCCAGGTTGTTTTTCCAATGAGGCAACCAAGCCGTGCAGCTGACTTCAAATGCATTTAACAAAATTGATTCTCCCCACGCCAGACCCTGCGTCGCCTCGAGCCAGATTCAGATGTCTTGTGAGGCCAGAGTTTGATGCTTGGCAATGACCCGGCATGACAAACAGCCAGTGGGCAAATGTCCCCATTGCGCGAGGACCCCCCGCGCTTGCTCGACTCGGACGTGCCAGTGTTAGAAGGGCATCAAGTTTCAACAACGGGTGTTGGACATTTGAACATAGGGCAAACAAAACCTGCCAGTCGTCAGGTCCGTCACGGCGACACGAACCTCGTGGTACTTCTCGAGCGCCACGCTCGTCTCGGCTCCGTCCTGCGTTTCAATGAAGATCAGTTTGTTCCGCTGGATATTTTCCAAGATCCCCTGGCGTAAAAACCGAAAGTATAAATCAAGAAAATCAAAAGGCAAGCCCTCCCCCACCCCACAGCTACTACACAGAACACACACACACCGTTAATTTGAATTCTGTGACACTGTTGGCTTTGCTCAGTGATTTACATTCGTAAACTCACAGCCCCTTTGTCAAATCCGCTGCTGGAAGAGTGGAAGTCCAAGGATGGAACGTGCCCAAGAGGATAATCAACATGGAGATAGGGCGATGAGATTAGCTTGTGTGCAAGAATCGGACTGATTGTTGCAATGTGAGAGCATGATAGATGAGAATGACTTGGGGAAGCCTTCAGCCAGCAGTGGATACAGCATAGCTGATGACAATTTAAATGTAACCATATCTCAAGACACTGTACAAACACGGAGTCACAGAGGAAGTGAGCAGTGGAAGGCTCCAGGGAAGAGTGGAAGAGCTGCACGGTATGGCACAATGCCAATGAATACAATTTGGTGAGTTACTGCTCCGGAAAATCACGAGGATTATAGTAACTAATAATCAAAATTAATACATTCCTCCCATCCTATAACCACGAGCTCAAACAATGGTGAATGTTTTTTTAAGTCTATGCGAGGCAGCACTCAAATAGCGCCGTAAATAACCACGCTCACATCGGCTGCGTCTCTTGGCTCAATTAGCCTTGCCCGTAAACAAGGAAGCGCGTTTACGAGTGGCAATAGCGGCACTCGGCTTCAGGCATGCCAAAGTTGAGTCGTTGCATGCGTACACAATGCATACACACGCACACGGCCCGGTTTTGTTAATCCACTGCTGGAGGAGGAAATCCCAAAGTCGTGCCGCTTGTTTGACCACACTTCACCAGTTGGTTAAGTGCGGGTTTGGTGGAGGTGGGGAGCACAAATATAGAAGCAGAGATGTAAAGTACAACAATGAATGTTACTGCACTCCCTTATGCTTGCCACCACGTAGTCCCATAACCCAAATAATCCGTGTGCATGGTGGTCACCCATCCAATAACTATCCAGGCTCCAATCTGCTGAGCTTCCGAGATCTCAAGAGATCGGGCGTGTTGCGGTTGATTTGGTCAAATGACTTGGTAATGCTGCTACGTTGGCAGTAGTGCACAAGCAGACAACTAAAAACTCGACGTGTTCATCAATAACACTGCCATAAAAGTATATAACAGGCGACGAAATGTCGGGCAATGGCCCTCCTTCCATAGTACGTAAGTCAAGAGTTTTTTTTAATATCTTTATATTGTGAGTTGCACGCTTTACAGCTTTACAGCATGCAGCTAGCCCACTTACAGGACTACAAACTGTTGTAATTGAATGTATATTAAGACAGCGGGGAAGATCCATTAAAGCTGCATTCATAAACTTGGTTTGTTTTATTTAACGGTCGACAGGGCATCGCGCCAGGGAATGGACCCAGTTGACATCACAGTCCATTCACTTGGGCTCTCTTACTCGAGTCGACATGGCTTTCCTTTGTCCTCGGTAAATAGAAAGTTATCACGTGTCGGGCACGTGCAGTAATGTTTATGTGTTTAGTTCTCCCAGCTGGGACTGGCTGAAATGAGTTAAAGAACAAATTAAAATTGCAATGATTTTCTAATGCGGTCAATGCTTACCGGGCTGAACCTATTAACCTTGCTACGTTTGGGAAACTTGTCTAAACGAGGCATCTGGAACACAACATCAAACTCATCTTCAGCATACTCTTAGTTTTTTCAGTAAAGTCACGTAGGTAAAAAATGAAATAAAAATTAATAAAAATAAAATAATAAAAATCACGACGTTTCGGAGGCAACACAAGTCTCTGTCATCAGGTGGGACCGTCACAGCCAGATTTGCTGTATCAAGCAATCAACTTGGTGCTCTGGCAAGCCCATCAGCCACATGTTATATCACCAAATTGTCTGTTTTTGTTCACATGATAAAATCAGCCTGACTGTGCGAACTCATCAGACCACAGAAGCTAAATAGGCTTGAGCCTGGACAGTGCTTGGATGGATAACCACTGTCATTGGCTGCTGCTGGGCTACCTGGGCAATAGAGGCTTTGCAGATAAATCCGTTGTTGAACTATACTATGCTCCTACATCTAAGTTACCCTGCATCACCAACCTGCACTGACCAGTATGTTGACGTATGGTCCAATAACCCTCGTAACTTGGACCAAGTGGGAAGGCTCTCATCCAGCAGTGGATTAAGAAAAAGAGTGCTGTACATGCACACTCGTGTTCTAACAGGGGCCAACTTTCTACGAACCAAGCCAAGGCCGTTTAACCAGATAAGGGTTCTGTATTGGATGTGACGAGGGTCATGTGTGTCTTATCTGGTAATTCAAACACTTTCACTTAAAATTATTCTCCATGCAATTAGAACAAACCAAGTTGGATTGTGGGCGAGGGCCCTTTATCATGCCGTGTTGTCTGACGAGTGTGTGTGTGTGTGTAATGACAGGGTACCACCTGTCGGCCTGAAGGGGTAATCGCGGTTATGGGCATGTTAAGTCATGTCTCATTATGAGGCGGGCGTATCTGGGGTGAAAGTGAAAGGCGGAGTCAATCGGGAAGCTCCGGAAACCTGTTGGAAGGTTCTGGAAGGGGGCGTGGCTGGAGGCGGGGCTTGCCGTGCTGGGGTGTATATAAGGGGGACTGAACCAGAGGTTCGGTGCTGTTGCGGGTCCTGGCTCCTGGCTGCGTCGCTGCTCGCTGTCATCTCTCTTCGTCTTTCGGCCACGTGGCCGATCTTCTGCAAGGCTCTCATCGTCACCGTCGCTGCGCTAGTCAGACAGCTGTGCAGTTGGACGTCGACGATGGGGTTGTGTAGAAGGGTCGGCTATGCGTAGCTACGTAAAACGTTACACAGATGCATCGCCCAGTGTTGTGCTTAAAGTGTGAGAATAAATAAGAACCCTTCTACACGACGTGTCTTGGAAGTCACTCACTACATATTTGTGCGCGTAGGGAGCGGTAGTGCAGTGGTTAGCGCACTGCGCTAAAGACCCGGCAACCGGAGTTCGATTCCCGCTCAGGGCCAACACCAGTGACGATTATCTGAATCCATCCTGGGCCTCCCCTTGGTCACCCACCCCCTCGTCTGCCGTGCCCGCCTTCATAGGTGCTGTCTGTATGAACCGGTCCTGGGCCTCCCCTAGGTCGACTCAGCCTTAAATGAGTACCTGGTGCGGTGTGTAAACATCGCCACTGGGGAGACAAAGGCGGTCGGGCGTGGTGTTGGCCACCCACCCCCTCGTGTGCCATGCCGGCCTTCATAGGTGCTCGCTAACAGCACTTGCCCCTACAGTCTGTTAAGGCTATACGGGGGATCTTTGTCTTTGTATATATGTGTGTGTGTATATATGTGTGTGTGTGTGCACGTGCCGCGGTCCCTCCCGTGTGCGTCTCTCACCTGCTCGTACCAGGCGGCCACGATGGACTCCATGTAGTGGTAGCTCGTGAAGAAGCACACGACCCCGTCGGGCACCACGCACGTCATCTCCAGCAGCAGGTTCCCGTAGTTCCTGATCACCGCTGCCAGCGAAGTCAAGACAATTTGTGAAATTTCGATTTAAAGCTTTCGTGACTGCAGGGATTCATCTTCTTGGTTCTTTCGGTAAAGTCACGTAGAATGGAAATAATAAAATAATAAAACCAAGAAACTTCGTGCGTGCGCAAGGAGCCTCTGTAACGCTTTCAAAAACGTGAATTTGTTTGTCTTCTAAAGTATTTGAATTCGCAGTATGGCGTTACGTTTCGAGCCGCATGACGAGACAGTGTGACGTCATGAGCATGACGTCATGAGCATGACGTCATGAGCATGACGTCATGCGCATGACGTCATGCGCAATGAAGAGGGGAAGAGGAGGCGCGAAGAATTTTGAACGCCACGTCACAGCCGGCGAAGGGGAGTCCTTTTCGCTCTGGTTTGTGTCTCCAATTTTGGGGCAACCCATTTATTAACTTGGCCGGTTTGTCATAAGGCAAGTTCTTGAATAAAAGCAAAACAACGTTAATCCAGTTTGGTTAAAATCAGATCATCTTTGCGAGAGTTAGTGCCCCCAGCCCCGTGCCCCCATCACAAGACAGTCGGACAGAGCTAACGCATAAACTCCTTAGCATTAATTGGAAAGGGTAAAAAAATATATATACTTGAAAAAATAAACATGTACTTCCACATGCATAATAAAGGTATTTATAATTGACTGTATATTTTATGACAACCTAGCAAACATTACATTGGTCTTAACGGTTATTGATATCTTAAAAATATAGACGTAAAATATGTATTTCCGCACCTCCAAATAGCACAGTTGACTAAGTACAGTGCAAAAGAACTTCAACATACATACAGCGATCAATAAGACTTTTGAAGAATTAAAATGTTGATGACTCTTCACTCCGGCTCACATCACTCACCACCCAACCCAACCTCTACCGTCTCCAGCATATTTAATGTAAACCTCAAACTTTCCTGAAAAAAGTCAGTTTCTTCAATTCGTTAAGACCATCCTTTCCCCTGGCAGTAACAAAATGCTGTTAATTTGAATTGTACTGATACTTAATGAGTAATTGAATTATTTTCTAAATACATTCCTATACATTAATACTATCTGCCGGTACCATTGCTAATGTGGTGCAATATTTCCTGCCAGAGGTCTACATGTGCCATGTGTCACAAAAATGAGAAGTCGATGCTATTGCGCCTATTCGTACATTCATTCAAAAAGACGTTTAGTTCTTTATATTTCATGCAAACTACATTTCACAATCGCTGGGCAGGAACCACAGACGAACTGGAAGGCAGCCAGGTGGTGAGCCGTCGGCCAACAATTGCCCAATCTCCGCAGTTTTCTGCTAATTAATGAGTGTTTATATAGTGGAAGGAAACCAGAGTACCCGCAGAAAACCCACGCATTCGAGAGGGCAACACACTATCCCATATGAGAGGGACAGATTCTATTAGTCCGCACTTTTCTGAACCCCATTCTCGTGCAAAGCCATTATATAGCACATCAACGCCCAAGGGAAGGGAGTTTCGCAACATTTGCGCGATCTTCCAACCCTCGCCTCCACGGCGCTGGACTACGGGCGTCCGCCACCGCCGCCCGGCAATATTATCCGTCAACTTCAAATGCCGCGGCATTTTCACGGTACCAAACTGTAAAAGTGCAATCTCAAACTACGAGTCAGCCAATCCCTCTTACTGATTACAGCTTTTATGAAGGGCCATTGGTTTAACAGCCCACTGCATAATCTCCCGCTATAATTCAGCGTTAATAATGAAGGTGGAGACCATTTCTAAAGGGGCTACGTGAGCTCTGCAGCAACGTGGCTGGCAATGTAGCAAAATACAATGCTGTACTGTACTTGCTATGCTCCCCACCTTCACCAACCTGCACTGATCAGTGTGGTGAAGTATGGTCAAACAACCCCCACAACTCACACAAGCGTAGAAGGGGACCTCATCTCGAAATGGACTGCCCGAAAGGGCTAGACATGTACATATTCTATGTGCGCATATATTATAAACAAAGCCTGGCTGTCAAAATAAAGATTCCTTCTTTAAATTGCCAAGAAAACAACAAGTTAATGCTATTTTATTCATGACCTTTGAGGTCTATATATTTATTTTAACTGGTACGTAGCCATGCCGTTGAATCGTATCTTTGTGACAGCCAACTGATCGCGGCTGCCGTGACCTCAAAGAATTCCTCACCGATATCTTCCCTTGTCTCGAACTTTGAGCTCATGGTCACCTGGTCGTTCCCGCGCGCGACAATCTGAAACGGTATCATGGCGCTCACGTAAGGTCATGACCTCCTGAGGCGGGCACCCGCCCACAAAACAAAGTGGTTTCAGAAGTGGATCTGTGATGTCATTCTCTGTCTGACACATGGTGTGCGATGCATTGCTTTGCTGTGAGAGATCTGAATAGAAATTCCTTCATCGCCAGACCACAATTTAGTGAGAATGTCAACAACAAGGCACCCGTCTGATGTGCCACCGCCGTGAAGCGTGTGTTCACCATCGTTGGCATCAGCACCCATGATCAATCCACTACTGGATGAAAACCTTCCCCCCCCACCCCACCAAGCTGTCACCATCGCTCACGGCCCTGCGATGTATCACGGGTGAATTTCTCCACATACGACTATTGTGATTGTGCCGATGCGAGGCTGTGTGTGTGAATATCGTCACATTTTTGTTTACCGTACGGCTAAAAGTCAATGCTCATCAGAAATGATGTGGAAACCGATTGAACATAAAATATTATTTCATAAATTAACCTCTAGTTCCCAAAAAAACAGCATTTCCATTGTGCAATGATTATTAAGGTGGGCAGTGCTGACGTATTGGATGGGACCGACATTTGCCGTGGCATTGTTGGCAAGTTCATGTTCCGAGCACCAAGGTGATTTGATTCTGTGCACTTCCCGCCGCTTCTCCACACGGCACGATCGTCTGCAGTGTTCAGTGCTATCAGTCCTGCATGCAGGAAGGTAATATAGGAAAACCCTCCTCTAAAGTATGCACCATAGTCTACACTTGTCTGCCTTCACAGTTTGGGCAGTAGCATGGTTGGTCTGGGCCCACTCCCCCCCCCCCCCCATCCAATTTCCCCCCTCTTCATCGACTGGCAATTACACCTGGGTCCCTCCAGGCAGAGTGTAATTACACCACCTACACATTCCATAGCTACGCCACTTCCTTTTGGTTATCCTGGAGGCCCCATCTGGCCTTGCTGGCCACGTAACGACTTGGTCCAGTGTCTCCCGGTCTCCCTCGTTCAGTGAGAAAACGATTCAGTGGAGCCCATGCATGGCTCCGTACCTGCATGTTTCCGTGTCTCCAATGCCCCGTGTCCCCGAGTCTGTATGTCTCCCCGTATCGCTCTTGTCCCCATATTCCCGTGCCCCCTGTGTTTCAATATCTCCCTTGTCCAGTGTGAAACCGATTCAGCAGAGCTCGTGTCCCGCGAGGCTGCAGGTGGAGCCCCGTTTACGGGTGGTGGTGGGGTCACCGACAGTAAAACAGTTCAGTCTAAACTAAACAAATTTTTATTTAATTTTACCAGGTATGGCCCACTAAGCTATATAGTTTTTTTCAGAAGCGACCTGGCCACAAATGATAGCTCAACGAAGTGGCTCATCATGAATACATTTATAGCAGCCAACTACTCTAAATGCATGTTTCTAAATGTGGAGGGAAAAACCGGAGGGCCTGGAGAAAAATCCATGCGACCATAGGGAGTACATGCAAACTCCAAGTATACAGGCATCGTCAGGGTTGGGATCACACCCACGACCCTCTGTATTCCAGGCGAGGTAGTTAACATCTCGCCACTGTGGCGCCTAGTCACTGTCGACGAGGCCGATTCTGCCACCAGAGAGATGTTCACCACCGCGCACGGTAAAACACTCACTATGGGGCACAGGCAGGTCCTGGCCAAGGTCATGGTGAAGGATGCCACGGTAACCGGACGGAAGTCAAGGATTTTGGGATACATGTCCAGGGGAGACAGCGTCTGCACAGGAAAGGAAGAGAAGACATAAAAAAAAAATTGTGATTTTTCGAACAAATAAAACGATACAATTCGGATATAAATGGGGTTTATATTCTGCGACCGGGTGAGCAAGTGGGGGGGGAAGGGAGCGTGGATGACTCACCCCCGAGGTTATGATGACGGTCTGGAAGCGGCTGAAGACCGGCTTAATCGCAATCGACGCGTCCATGCAGCTGACGGGGCGGGGCAAAAAAACACGACACTCGTTCACGCCGTCGCAATCCTCTCTGTCTACCGTCGTGCACCGTTGTGAGTCCACGGCAGCGCGAGGACCTCCACACGCAGCGCGAATCGTGGGGGGTTTTTGGTCATACTCCACCACACTGGTCAGTCCAGGTTGGCGAAGGTGGGCAGCGTAGACGTTGGGTCATATTACAGTATAACAATGGATTTTTCTGCACTGCCCTCTGATGACAACTAAGCCCCGCAACGGACAATGTCGCTACCATGCAGGCCGTGCGTGCAAGCGCGATCGAGGCCCAACTGCCTCCAAGATCTAATGAGATGGGGCGCATGCCGGGTGACCAGGCAGCAGACTGAGCCAGAGTGAAACATGTTGACGCCCGGAGCAAGGTGCCATACTCGCGCCCGAGCACCCCCCACCGCCGCCCCCCCACCCCCTCAGGCTTGCTTCAATTCCAACAATTGGGCTGCACATTCGGGCAGTGGTGCCCCCCCCCCTCACTGGGAAGGGCGCCCGGGGCGCCTGCCATGCTCACACGACTCCTCCCCACCCCAGCCCACCCCTCACCATGGCACTGGCATCGCACACCTCTGGAATCGATTATCCGACGTGTCAAAGAAACTGACAGCTCGCACGACCAGCCAAATAGTGGCCAACCAGGGACCTCTATCGACGTGTTCAACTCATTTCTTTGGAACTGCTTTTTGTGTTAAGTTTATTTGTCCTTCCACCGCACCTCGGATTAGCACGTCTGGCTACGTAAAGTGCAAAATAAGTTCGACATACATACATCGTACAGCAGTGGTGATGTGGGGGGTCACGTTCACGGAAGCCCTGGTGTCATTTACCGTATGGACGGACAGTTTCTGATTTTTCCTGCACCTTCTACAAGGCTCAGTTTGCACTCTAAACCCAAAGAGGCACTTCCTTCCACTCCAGTCGCTGGTCGGCAGACACGCGGACAAATTTACCTTTGCAAAGCCTCCGGTGGGGCGAGGGTGGCATGAGGATGGATCCACGTGAGTTAAGAGTTGTGCTGCGTGTGAGTAGGTGCGTCTCTGTAGGCTGCGCTCTCTACCTTAAGCGCAAAATGGGGTTGAGGATGGTGGGGGTTTTGTCCTCAAACGGCTCGATTATCAGCGTGAACCCTGGGGCAAAAGAGAATCGTTCAACATTGATCCGCTTGCCCGCAATGTCCTCGTGACCGCCGTCAATAATACCACCGTCTGTTTTGTTATTGAGCTGCAAAAGACGTTCTAATTTGGTCTAAGTCCGCTGGAATGAATTGGCTCGGTTCAGAATAAATAGCAGGGTGTAATTGTTAGAATTTACAGGTATGCTTACCATGGCCCATCCAATACAGAACCCCTATTTCATTCAGTACAGAACAAATATCGGGTTACAAGGCCCAAGATTGATTCGTATAAAGGTGGCCAATTGTGTACCATTTTACATGTACACGAGTGCAAATGTAACAGCCCTTTGGTCAGTTCACCGCTGAATGAGGGCCTCCCCCACGCTGCATTGATAGTGAGGGTTATGTTGGTGAAGGCAGGGAGCACAGATTTGGGGGTATAGAAGTACAGTACACCAATGGATTTTGCTGCACTGCCAATCTGCCGACTTCCACGTAACACCGTCCTACAGCCGCCTATGACAACCTGGCGTGCATGGTGGGCACCCATCCAAGCATTGACCAAGCTCAAACCTGCTTAGCTTCTGAGATCTGACCAGGTCGGCCACATTCCGAATGATTTGTTCAGATGAAACATTTTACACAGGCGTTTAAATGTTAAGATGACACGTGGATTATTTTAATTACCGAGGAACACCTCTACATGCTGCCTTCACAAAGCCGCACTGACCAGCGTGAAGTATGACCACCCGCACTGGAGTGGGGGAGGCCCTCATCCCGCAGGAGATTGATCACAAAAGGGTTGTTGATGTGCACTATAAATTAATCTCAACTTTGGTGTACGTCCTGACGAAGGTGATAACCGAGTAAGATCACCCTTTGTGGGTCCTTTTAGTGCCGCTTTTGTCTCTCCAAATGATGGGGAATCCTTGAAAATATTTGACCGGTTTCCGATATAGAGCAAGTCCCTAACAGCAACACAACTTCCCCCATCTCTACAAGAGTGACCGTGATGAGAGCAATTGCTGCGCGAGGCCCACCATTGGTGTAGGTGCTGACAAGGGTGGCGAAGTTGCAGACGAGCGTGAGCGGAGAGAAATCTGCAATGTCGGCGATTTCCAGCGTGCGGAGGAGCGAGCGCAGCCGCTCTGAGCAGAACCTACAGCACGGGGATGCGAGAAGGGGAGAAGAGAGAGGAGACGAGAGGGGAGATGAGAGAGGGGAGAGGAGGGGGAGAGGGGGGAAAGGGGAGAGAAGGGAGAGGAGAGAAGGAGAGAGGAGAGAGAGGAGAGACGGGAGAGGTTACAAGGAACACAAGAGTGGGGAGGGTAAAGCCATAAGGCCGGGATGCGGTAACAGAAGACACAGGACGGACTGGCCGAGCAGGCCCCTCCTCAGCACTGGCAAACGTGGTGAGTGCGCCGCACCGCAGGGGCTTGCGGTCGATGCAGATGCGGTCGTAGGTCTCCTTGAGGAAGGCGGGGGTGCTCTCGGACAGCACGTGCGTGACGCGCAGACGCGACTTGAGGTACTCCACGAAGCGTTTAAGGAACGACACAAAGTGCTCCGCGTTCCGGATGTTGCCAGGCACCGCCTCTGCGTCGGGAAGGGGCGAACGCGGCACGTGTAGAGAGAGAGAGAGAGGAATGAAGGCGGGCGGAGCAATCGATGTGGGAGCACGGAGGTATGGCACAGCAGCGGTTTTTGCTGCGCTGCCCTCTGCTGCCCACAGTGCTGTAAACACTCCCAACAACACATTTGTAGCTGCAACAAAAACAACACAACTTCCACATATCCCCAACAAGCCCATTCTGGTTAATTCAGACCAAAAGACACCGCTAATGTTTAAACTCTTTAAACTGACACTCATCAGTCGTGTCTGGACAGCCGTTGGTATTGGAGCAGCGACACGTTCCATGTAAACTCGTTTGCACACCCGCCCTGTCGTCCACCTTTTGTGACAATGCGAAAGCGGAGTGGAGCAGCAGGAGCCGAGGGAGCCGAAGACGCCGTCGATCGAGCAGAGCAGAATGATCGAGCAAATACAGCAAAAATTCCTCTTTACCAAATTCACGTGGGGGAGGGGGAAGGGGGGAGGCTGCTGGAAGCTGATCCTATTTTCCGTGTTTACCCGTGCAGATTACTCCTTTTATCTACACGCATGAGCACGAGCTTTGGCCTACTCCTTTCCCTGAAGGTATTGGCTCAACATCCCAACGCAGGACCATCGGGGAAAAAGTCTGCAGACTCGGTGGCGAGGCTTCCCAGGGTAAATACTTGGACATTGCCTTACGGGAGCAGGACCCTCAACGACACTGAAAATAAAAACATCGTCGCTTCACCCATCTCCACGTTAATAATTTATCATGGGCGGCAGCAGCTCGGCCACGAAAGCGACGTGGGTGACGTCTATCAGGGTCACCGTCACACCACGCAACCCTTTGATGCCACGTGCGTAGCTAGCCGTAAACACGACCGACTGTTCTTTAAATAATGCCGCTGTTGGAAAGCATTCCGCGTTGTTTACGAGCCTCTTCCCTTCACATGCCCCCTTCGCCCCTCGCCAAGTGCTCTCTCACATTCACGCTCGTCGCGACCGTGGGATATTTTAGACAACTAACAAAGAGACTGCAAACGCCGTCACCGTCGAGTCAAAACGTCTACATTATGAAGAAATGTTGGCTAAATTTAACAATGACGGAGCAACATGCCAGCATGTCTCAAGGGGAACGTTGTAAGTCAGTCCATGTCACCTGCTTTGTCTTTGGAATCGGAGACACGGTCACTGGATGACAAGGACGGAACAAATGCCCAAAAATGTGTAAAAAAATAAAAAGCATGTAGAGACGCATGTTTGGAATTACATTGACGAACACTTGGATTAGAAATTGTACGTGGGCTAAATGTCATACTCTATGTACGACAATACAGTGTGGGGCTAAGGAAGGACACAACATTAGATGAGTCGATGGTCAGTGGCAGAGAAAAACTACCGGAGCGGCAGCCCAAGGAAGTAAAGTGCCAAAGAAGACGCCCACCCCGTAGAGATGGAGTGACAAAATAGGCTCCGATAAGCAAAGGCTGGCTGGCTGGCTCGTTGCATCACCGGACCGTGGAGGGTAGTGGCGCCTTGGGGAGGCCTTCATCCAGCAGTGGATTGAACTGCTGGATGCCACGGTGGCAAGATGTTAATTACTTCGCCTGGTATACAGGAGATCGTGGGTTTGATCCCGACCCTGACGCCTGTATATTTGTAGTTTGCATGTTCCCCCCGTGGTCGCATGGATTTTTCTCCAGGCCCTCCAGCTTTTCCCTCCACATTTATAATAATTATTTTAGAGCAGTTGGCTGCTATAAATGTATACATGACAAGCCACTTCGTTGAGCTATCATTTGTGGCCAGGCCGCTTCTGAAAAAGAGCCAAAGAGCTTAGTGGGCCATACCTGGTCTAAATAAAAATAGTTTAGTTTACGGAACAAAGCTGATACTGATGACACCGCTAATTGGGGAGGGCATGGGACGTGCCCTCACCTTGCAGAACCTCGTCGGGCAGCACGGGGTTGGCGAGGTGGACGTCCGTCTCCCGGGCGACGCTCGCGTCCCTGAGCCCCTCCACGAGGCGCCGGTACTCCTCCTTCAGCTTCGTAGCGTCCGTCTCCCGGATCCTGGGCGGCGGCACACGTGTGTGGGGAGCTCGGTGACAGTGGGCAGGTGACCGCCATGGGCTATATGGGGGAGCTTTGTCTTTGTATATATGCACAGTAGGAGGCCGAATTGGTTTCTAGGAAGCCCAGGACTGCTTCAGTTATCACTCCCCACTAAATCGGTGTGCGTCTTTGTCTTTATGATTCCCGTGCTCACGGCTAAGAACATCGGTGATAAATATCTGAACCAGTCCAGGGCCTCCTCTAGGTCGACTCAGCCTCAAATTTGTTTCTGGTGCGGTGTTTAAACATCAGCAGTCGGGAGACAAAGGCAACCGGGTGTTGTGATGGCCACCCACTCCCTCGTGAGCCATGCCGTCCTCCATAGGTGCTCACGAACAACACTTTCCCCGACAGTTTATTAAGGCGATAGGGGGGATCTTTGTGTGCGCATGTACATATGTGTATATCGACTTGCTTCTGTATCGTGGTCTGCAGAGTCTCGATATTCGTGCTGCACCGGTCGAGCGTGCGGCGTGTGATGTTCACGCTCATCGAGTCGATGCACACGTTGTCTGAAAAAGATCAAATATTAAAATCTCAAAAAGCCCCACGATAACTTCGTCTGTACGCAAAGAGTTAGGGCAGAGGCAGGAAACATTTTCCTTACAAAGGGCCCAATATTTTGTGTGGGGTGACGCATTAACACAAACCTTAGCACCACCCAGTTACGACAAAAAAAACGATCAGGGCTCACACCTTCGCTGCTCGTGTGGTGCGTGTGCCAGCTGCCCCTGATGCGGTGCGCATGCCCGCAACCCTCCCACCAATACGTCGACGTTAATATATCCCTCGAGCACTCGATGATCGTGGCTGAGATGCTTGCACCTTGGTCTCACTGGACAATCGCTCACCGATGTTGTGGGCCTCGTCGAAGACGACGACAGACTTTTTGGACATCTCCTTGGAGACAAGGTCGGCTATCTTGGGGTCGAGCAGATAGTGGTAGCTGTACACCACCACGTTGGCGTGCATGATCTGCACGCGGGAAAGCACAGCGGATGTGTGGGAGCATGCGACGGGTGCCCGGTCTTGGCGTGCGATCAACAAGGGAAACACAAGCGGCCGGGCGGGCGCCAATGCTGGCCGCACCAATCCCCCCACAAGGGCCACATCAGCCTTAATAGGTGCTCGCTAACGTCATTGCCCCAACAGTCTGATGGCGATATCTCGCTTGGTTGAAGTCGTGGCACTTCCAACTGCGTGCAAGGCACAGTACGCCGAGTCGATTCCAATGACTGTATCGGTAAATGTCATTGTTGTCATCAATAGCTCCACGTTGATTGGCAGCAGTAATAGGATCGCATTTTACTTGAGAGCAAAACCATCATGAATATCTTCACCAAGATCACCAACACCGCCGTCGCCACCATCATCATCTTCATCATCAGCAAAATCACCATTATTACCATGGTCTTTACCTCCACCACAACTACCATCATCTTCATCAACACAATTTCCGCTACCATCACCACTGTCAATGCTTTCACCATCATTATCATAACCACCAGCTCGACCACAGCTACCACCATCACTCACCACCACCATTAAAATAATGATCATCATCGTCACAACCACCATCAACATCTCTAACGCCACCACTATCATCATCCCCCAGTACCACCACCACGCCGCCCATCAGCACCACGACCGTGCGCACCACACACCGTGTAGCGGGCAAGGAAGTAGGGGCACCAGTGCTTCTGTCGCCCGTACTCCTTGAGATCGTCCAGGCTGTAGATTCCTGGCGGCATCGGCACCTCGCGCCCATTCGTGTTGAAGTCCTGCGACGCAGGAGCGCACACGCGGGGGAACGCACGTGAGGGCGCAGTGATGTTGGGTGTGCACACACAGGGAGCGTGTTTACCGAGCGTGAGTTTACCAAGAAAACGCAGCTCTACCTCGGAAAACCAAGCTTAAGGCCATCCTGTATATTGGAGGAACCCCTCATCCAGCAGTGGATTAACAAAAGGGATGGATATATATGAGCAAAGTGGCTTCCAGACATCACAAACAGCTGTAATGATGCATTGATTGAAATTGATTCGCTCTGTTGGCCAAGATATATACAACAATATTGTTGGCATAAATTGTACATAATTGATCCTAATGCTTGTAAGAATAAATTATTTACGCTGTCAAAGCCGATTATACATAACTGGTATGTCGATATGATTAGGTTAAGGGAATGACCAAAACTGTAGAAACGAGACAGAACAAGAAACAATACAAATAATAGAGCCAGGCGACATTGGCCAAGGTCGCTGTCAAACGGCCCTCACCTCAACCATCAACACAGCTGACGCCGGGACCGCCCTTTACCAGAGTCATGTTCGCCATTGGCTTTGGCTATCGGCGCGGTAAACGCCTAACAGCCAAGGCCTACCATCATCAAGACGAACCTTACGCCTCGCCTAGTTTGCCTCGTCAGCTGCCCCAACCCAGCTGAAGGAACGAGGGCCGTCAGGCGTTGGCAAATATCGGGATTCGTTTTCGCGACGTACGACACCATCGTCCTTCGTGGTCATTCTATAACGTACGCCCTGGACGCTTTTGAGACAAAAGAAAAATAAACGATAAATGATTTATCCAAACGTCATACGTCGATAGGGAGTACTACGTGACAGCCCACTGTGTGAATGCGGGGAGCAGGAGACCATGGCGCACATCGTCTCCGGCTGTAAAGTGTGTCAGAGCGTGCCGGTGGACTGGTTGGCCTGCACATGCTGGAGGAGGAAGCTGTCGCATGGCTACGTGGGCTGACATCCACTCATAATATAACACTGACATACATATGTATTAATTAAATATTTTTTTCTTGTGCATCTGGTGCTCTAGGTGCTCCAGTTGTGTAAAAGCATTCGCTAAGTAACTAAATCAACCCGAACAGCTACAGGTTCATCCTACTGCTAGCGGGGGGGAGGTAACGCATCGCTTGTCGTAACATCGCCGACGCGCACATGCCAAGCGGACCTCGTAGAAGGAGCAGACGGGCACGCTGCCATCGGAGCTGTGCCGGTTGCGCACGTACGATGCTGTGAGCGAGTGGCAGCGGCCGTCCACCTCCTTGCCGAAGCGCAGGGCGCTCACCTGCATTGGGCAACAGAGGCGGCCGCCACATCAGAGGGGTGATCCAGTCTCATGGTGACATTTTTAAACGGGGATAATTATACACATGTATGTATGTATAATTTATTTCGCGCCGTACATAGCCAACCGTGCTAATCGGAGATGCGGGGGAAGGACAACAAACTAAACACAAAAAGCAGTTCTAAAAAAATTAGTTTTCAATCTAGATTTAAAAGTGCATAGCTCCAGTGGCTTATTCATATCAGAAGAGCATTCTAGACGGCCTGCAGAAGCGCATCTGAAATCGCACGATCCGATGACCATCTTTGTTCGATGGCCAAGTAAAAGCTGCTGCGAGGATGACCAGAGTTCGCTTGGTGGTTTATGCTCCTTGACGAGATCAGATATTGTGGTTCATACCGTTTGTTCTTGTACATTATCTATATATTGGACAGGGGGTCGTAAGAATCCTCCGATTGGCTGTGATAGTGTGTGAATTGAGACTGGTGATTGTGGTTGTGGATAGCTTGAGGTTGATGGTTGTTGTATATAGATTGAAGCTGAAAATTCGTGTATAAATTGAGGCTGGTGAGACTAGCAATGCATGTGGAAAAGCTCCAGACAGGGTCCCACTTGGGTTCCTGCGACGCCGCACCCCCCACCCCCCTCACCTCGGGGTGAATGCACAAGTTCTTGCGGGAGCTCAGGGAGAGCGCGAGGAACTTCATGGGCTCTTTTGTGTGTTTCTCGTAATAAGCCACCAGCTTCTTCATCTCCTCAATCACCTGCAAACATCGCCGGCAGGTGTCAACGACAGGTGAGTGAGCGAGTATACGAGGCTGGCTGCCCGAATATCCCGGCTAAAGCATCAATCGTAGCCTTCACAAGGTCGCGTGTGGCTGTTTCTGTTCGACAAAATTAAGAGAGAATGAGAAGAGGTGGCTCGGAAGTCGATTAAACTGGGTTCTCCAATGTGAGTTAATGCAATACAATACTAATGGGATTTACGTATCATCTAAGTGTGACCGCATCTCAAGATGCTACACAGAAACAGTAGGCATAGTCATTTTATAGATGGGAGGCAGAGGCATCTTGAGCCCGAATTTGAACAGGGACAGGTAGGCGAAAGCTCAGACGTCTGGGGAAGAGAAGTCCAGACTAGTTTGGGCAGCAGAGGAAAATGAGCGGTTGACTGTGGGGGGGTGGCTTCATCAGAAAGCCTGGGTTGCTTCAGCAGGAGGAAGGTAGCATGAGGTGAGAGAGTCCTCATCCGAGTCGTCTCCCAACGACTGCACAAAAAATAAAACCCCAACACAACTTTGCTTCGTCACTTGATTTGACCAAATTCAAGCTCCGATTTTTGTACACGTTTGATTTCTATGTGACATCTATTTCTTTGCCATAAGATGCAACCTAATGTGTATATAACAAAATAACTTATGTTGTTACCCTTCCCCCTATCGTTGGGGACCCGTCTGGTTTGAGGCAGCGGGTTCGTTCCCCGTTTGTCTATCCGCTGCTTTTTATAACCAGTTTAGTTTATGCTGACGGTGTGTACGTGCATCACAACGTGATGTAACGGGTCCGCACATTGCCTCAATAAATAAAGTGGATATGTTCTAATCTCTATCGGCCATTCTCTAAATTCAAAACGTAATTGTGGGGTGTTTCACTGCTTTGCGAGAGTTTAGTACGGATTCTTAGTCTCACAACGTGAATGCCGAATGCAAAAATGGAATGAAAATTAGAATAAGAAATTTTTTTAGAGAGATTAAATACAAAAGTACATCCGTGGCGGCGTGAGGTGGCACGTCTGCCCGTGACGCCATCACATTCCCGCACACCTCACCTTCTCAATCTCGGGCACCGTCCGTGAGCAGTACACAAGCTTCTGTACCTCGTTGGGGAATGCCTAGGCAGGTCGGAATCACGCACGGAACACATTCACAGTCGGGGAAATAAAGATCAACCGCGGACAGGCACCAGTCCTGCAGGCTGTGCGGTTGTTGGGAGTGATATTATGGCTGGTTGCAGTAGAATTGTGTTTTTTTCTAGTCGTGTTGCAGTTGTCCAGGTGATATTGAGGTTGACATGGTTGTATTGCAGTTATCCAGGTCGGCATCTCACCCGCTGGTATGCGACGATGAGAGCGAGGAGCGAGACCGTTTTCCCTGTGCCCGAAGGCATCTCCAGCACGCCATGACCCTGGTGGTTCACGCAACAAAGTCATCGCCATCAATCACCATCATCGCTATCACCACCATAAACACAATTTGGATTCACAGGGAAACAATATCATCCCGGATAACGACCCGCGAATTCATTTCATATGGCCTTGAGGGCAAACGAGGCCTACCACCTCGGAACAAGTTCCAGAATACAGAGGTAGGAAAAGCAGGAACCTCCCGCTGAGCTAAGGTTGACCCCATGGCAGCTTCTGCAGAAAACATTGGTTGCTGAAGCAGATATTTGTGGGAGAGAAGAGACGAGAATGGAAGAGGTAGGAACGTGAATAAAGGGCAGTAGAGTGAGATGACATGGGAGAGGTAGGAGTGTCTGGAGAGGAGTAGATCATGATGATAGGAGAAAGATAGCAGAGGGCATAAAGGGGAGTAGAGTGAGCTGAGAACGTAAGAATAGGAGAGTGCGTTGAGGGGACGAGAGTGTGATGATGAAAGGGAAGCGATGAGCAGCAGCGAGTCCATGAAGAATCTGGTAGATAATGAGTACGCTCTTGTAGGTGACCTGGACTGGATTGGGAGCCAGTTGAGGGATCAGAGTATTGCGGGATTCATCTTCTTGGTTCCTTCAGGTAAAGTCACGTAGAAGGGAAATAATAAAATAATAATACAACATAATAAAATAAAAATTCTCACGACGTTTCGGCCACAACACAAGCAGCCGTCCTCAGGTGAAGAGCTGTCTTTCTGACAGCTCTGTTTCTTCACCTGAGGACGGCTGCTTGTGTTGTGGCCGAAACGTCATGAGAATTTTTATTTTATTTTTTATTATTTCCCTTCTACGTGACTTTACCGAAAGAACCAAGAAGATGAATCCCTGCAGTCACGAAAGCTTTAAATCGAAATGTATTGCGGGGTGGTGTGTCCTCATTTGTGGTCATCATTCTCTGTCCACTGCTGGATGGTGGAAGCACGCTGCAGATGGTTTTGCAATACCGAGGCGAGGAGGGTACCTTGGCATCCAGCGTGCGTTTGAGCTCCAGCATGTACGAGTACTGCTCGGGGTAGATGAACTCGTACGGAAAGTACACGACCAGCCCCTCTATGTCCAGCCTTGGTGACAGATATCACGCACGCACGCACACACACGGACATGTGTATGCACACAAAGACAAAGAACCCCCGTCTGGATAAAACAGACTCCTGCAGTTAGCAAGCACCTATTAAGGTCGGGACGGCACACGAGGGGGTGGGTGACCAACACCACACCCGACCGCCTTTGTCTCCCCAGTGCCGATGACAAGGAACTAATTTGAGGCTCGGTCGATTTAGGAGAGGCTCAGAGATCGATTAGAATATTCATCACCGATGTTGTTAGCCGTGAGCGCGGGGAAATCAACAAAGTCACACGAATTCCTGGCCATATCATCAGTGGCGAGTGATAACTGAAGCAGTCCTGATCTTCCCAGAGATCAACTCAGCCTCTAATGTGCATTTATACAAAGATCCCCTGTGTAGCTGAAACATGGGATGGTAATCTCCCTTGGTTTGTTACTTGACATTTGACATCACCACCATTTAGCACCACCATCAACATCACCACTGACATTAATATCGTCACCCTCAGACCATCAACATCGCTATCACAATACCGTAACGCCATCACCGTGGACATAATCAACATCGATTGTCATCACCATCACTGTTAACCATCATCGTTTGTAATCAACGAAGCATCAACGTTGATCATTTAGTAACCACTAATCAGCAACTGCTGGCTGAAGGCTTCACTGGGGCCTTCGTTAAACTCTCACGGTGTTTGTGATGTAGCAAGCAAGCAATCAACCACCACCACCATCATCATCATAACACCCCAACCCACCCCACATCAACAAATTCATTCACAACATTTAGTAACAACATTTAGTAACAACATCGCCAACGACGTTACCATCAACAAACCCCATTGTGGCCATCAAACGCACACCACCACCACCGCCGTCTTCGCGTTGGGGCCTGCGTCGCAAATGTTTATTCGTTTCTCTGCGAGCACGTCGACTTGGCAAACCCCGTGATAAACACCGGGAGCGAGGTTAGAATCTAAACACGCAAATACTTTAACGAAACAAGCGGCACGAAACGCGGTCACCAATCAATGAACGTCCTCGCGTTCTCACTTCATCGTCGACTTCGCCCACGTTTCCACCGCTGTTCGTTCGCTTCCGAACCGACTCGTCAAGCTGTCCGCAACACGCCAACAACGAGGAGATCGCGTCGAGGTTTTTGTTTAATTAAAAATAATTCCGCCACTCGTTCAAATCCTCGCAGCGTCTCGCCACGGGACGACTATTTTTGTGACGCGGTTACGAAAACGCGAAACTTCGCCCCGCCTCGGACGCCGTAGTCGGCACGAGCCCAATGAAAATCGTGGACAGCCAGCACCACCACACCAGCAGCCACACCACCACCACCCACACCAACCAAACCACCACCAGCCACACCACCACCACCACACCAATACCCAAACCATCACCACCATCCCACACCACCACCACCCAAACTACCACCCAAACCACTACCACCCACACCACCACCCAAACTACCACCACGACACAAACCACCACCACCAGCCACACCACCGCCACCACCAGAACCCACACCACCACCACCCATCCCACCACCCACACCACCACCACCCACACCACCATCCAGATCACCACCACCCACACCACCACCCACACCACCACCACCCACCCCACCACCCACACCACCACCCTCACCACCACCCTCACCACCACCTACACCACCACCACCCAAACCACCACCCACACCACCACCACCCACACCACCACCCACATCACCACCACCCACACCACCACCATCCACACCACCACCACCCACGCCACCACCCACACCACCACCACCCATACCACCACCCATACCACCCACACACCACCACCCAAACCACCACCACCAGGTACAAGAGGTCTCGGGACAGACCCAGCAAGTGCCACGGGTTGGTTGATTGAGATGACCGGCAGATGCACCACCAGCTGTTACCCCCTACTGTGCCAGGCTAGGTGCAGGAGGTCTCGGGACAGACCCAACAAGTGCCATGGGTTGGCTGATTGAGATGACAGGTAGATGCTACCAGCTGTGCCCCCCGCCGTGCCAGTGTTATCACACCGGCACGCACCACACACCTATAAGCACGTGTCCGCTATGGGTTAACACATTCCTGCGGAGGGAGCTGGTAGGGACGTTGGGTTGCTCGGTCAATGGCCAGGGTCAACGGCGGCGTGGTGTATTCCGCAAATATGCCCGACTGTGAGGGCGGGCACAAGCCGGCGTGAGTAGGTGAAACGTTGAGTTTTATAAGGGCACCACGGGGTGACCAGCCCCTCCCCACCCAGCCCCACCCCTCCCAGCCCCCACCCACCCAGCCCCCACCCAGCCTCCCCACCCTCCCCTCCCCACCCAGCCCCTCCCTGCACGACGGACGGACACAATAATCCCCTGTGGGCTGGTGTAACCAGAGGTTCCTACCAGTATAAGGGATGTCTGCTAAAAGGCACGTCGCCCGAAATGTCGACCCTAATTGTGGCTTTTTTTTGTTTGTAGGGGTTTTTTTTTGTGCCACTGTCAAAAAAGCTACATTAAAGAAATGTTTGTTACCGGATTGTAGTAAGAGGCAGGCCCCGGCGTTTAATTTAAAGTGGCAAGCTGTGAGATGGTGCGTCTTATAATCCGGACAAGGACGGTAACGCGAGAGTGAGTAATCGATGTTCGAGCGAGCGGATTGACCGCGTGGCTGTGTGTGATACAGGCCACGTGTGAAATATCTTGATCTGAAGCTGTCGTGACTACCGAAATAACCAAAGAGTATTGATTCCTGCAAAGTCACGTAGGTAGAAATAAAACAAAATAAATCACATAAATACAGGGTGATCCCGATGTCTTGTGACCCCCTCCCTTCCAATTAATTGACCCTGAACATTATTTTTTCCTTTGCATATTCATTTTTTTATAAACCTTACTTAACACATTACGTTTTAGAGACATCTGGAGCAGCCTGTATTCTGTCCGGACAAGAGTACTGCAGTACAGTACTCTCTTAGGGTACCGTGTCTTTTTTGTTGTTAAACCAAAAGCCCTCCACTTGTCTCAAAAGAGCTTTATAAAATGTAAAGAAAAATATGCAACTGTTAAAGCTTTACAAGTGGAGTGGGTGTGTATTAAAAAAACTACAAATTGATCAGTGATTAATATTGACCAAATAATAATACTGTATATACGAATCAAAACAAGCCTTAAGATTTAGTTTTAAAGCTTTCGTGACTGCAGGGATTCCTCTTCTTGGTTCTTTCGGTAAAGTCACGTAGAAGGGAAATAATAAAATAATAATACATAATAAAATATTTTATTATGTTTGAATTTTTTATTATTTTCTACGTGACTTTACCGAAAGAACCAAGAAGAAGCCTTAAGATGACATTTATAAACAAAAAATCTCTACTCGCCCACAATGGGCTCTTGAATCCACGAATGGCTTGGGCAACGAGTCCGACGGTTTAGATCAGGACCCTCCTGAAATCACAGTCTCGAGACTCAAAGAAAACGAGACTCGACTTGAATCTTCCGAGATGGAGTCTCAAATATAAAAAACAAAGCTGCCGATTATTGTTGAAGATGCAGAAGCTGGTCTCAAGTGGCCCCATGTTTTTTTCAGTTCACCATGTACGATGAAGAAGGGCCATTGCCCGAAACGTCACCGAGTATATACCGTGCAAAGTATTGTTTATTCTTCTTTTAATGCCACTTACTGACGAAATGTGTTCAGTTTGTCTTACGATGGAGTCGTCGCCAGGTGCTGTAGTGACTTCTCTCAACCAGCAGGGGGCGCTGTGGGTTCGTGCTCACGTTCTCTGGGTTTTTTTGTCTCCACTATCGGGCAAAAACCCCAACCCATGCTAGGGGTTGGTTTTTGTCCAGGCACTGAGTTTTACTGGTAGGAACCTCCTGGTTACACCAGCCCACAGGGGATTATTGTGTCCGTCCGTCCGTCGTGAATCCAAAGATGGGAGGGGTGGGGCTGGGTGGAGAGGAGAGGATGGAGAGGGGCTGGGTGGGGAGGGGCTGGGTGGGGAAGGTGGGGAGGGGCTGGGTGGGGAGAGGAGGGTGGGGAGGGGCTGGGTGGGAAGGGGCTGGGTGGGGAGGGTGGGAAGGGGCTGGGTGGGGAGGGTGGGGAGGGGCTGGGTGGGGTGGGGAGGGTGGGGCTGGGTGGGGGGTGGGAGGGGTGGGGTTGGGTGGGGAGGGGAGGGGCTGGTCACCCCGTGGTGCCCTTATAAAACTCAACGTTTAACCTACTCACGCCGGCTTGTGCCCGCCCTCACAGTCGGGCATATTTGCAGAATACACCACGCCGCCGTTGACCCTGACCATTGACCGAGCAACCCAACGTTCCTACCAGCTCCCTCCGCAGGAGGAATGTGTTTCTCCCACACACATGCCTGTAAACAACCACTTCAGAGGCGAGAGTTGATGAATCACACATGTTGTTAAACTCCCCTCCCGTGACCATTGCCACCTCATAGTCTGTACTGTCTCGTATTCACAGGCAGGCTTTTATAGTAATGACCAGGCTCAGCACTGCTTAGCTTCGGAGATCTGACAAGATCAGGCACATTCGGGTGATTTGGTCATATGCCATAAATAACTTGGAGGTACCAGAGGAATTCCATCTACTACTACCGATACAGTGGGTGGCTGGATCAATGCCCAGGTGCGTTCAAGCTATGGCTCAATATTGGTCAACCATGTTATGGTGCGGATTACTTAGTAATTGCTGTTTACTTTAAGAAGAGTTCAATATTCTATTGCTGAACCCGGAGAATGCCACTAAGAGGTGGGGCCTCACCATCAACCCGACTAAAACAAAGCACTTTCCTTGTTTTTTTTAAAATATTATCATACATTCGAGCCCTTTAACTCTCCATTAACATTGGGCAGTTGTGGAGCGAGTGGGGGAATTCCCATACCTGGGCAGTGTGCATATGGCAGCTTCAGTTTTATATCAGAGGTCTCATTTTGAATCAGTTGAGCAACATTATTATGTGTGGAAGCTGTCTGGTCTGTCACTCCGCACCAAAGTTCAGGGACCGTCATTCTCAGTGCTTGTGAAATGTGAACATCTCTAAAGAAACGCCTGCCTCGGATTTTAAACATTCTGCCAATTAATCTATCCTAGGATCGGCCTCTGGTGCCAGGGTTGAACATCAGCACTGGGTAAGATAAAGGTGACTGTCCATGATGCTTGCCCACACCACTCTTTTGTGCGTAGTACTGTCCTTAATAGGTGTTCATTATTGATTTGAAGCTTTCGTGACTGCAGGAATCCATACTCGTTGGTTCTTTCGGTAAAGTCACGTAGGTATAAAATACAATTTATTTTATAAAAAAAAAAATTGTAGAAAAAAAAATATTTTTTTATAAAATAAATTTTATTTTATTTTATACCTACGTGACTTTCTTTTATTTTATTCCTACGTGACTTTACGGAAAGAACCAAAGAGTATATAGGTATTCATTAACAGCACTTGCCTCAACAATCTATGGCGGCTACAATGGGATGTTGGGGTTTGTCATCTTGTAGGGAGACACTGGATACTGCTGTCCGGGGTCAGCGTTACGTGGGGCTTCATTTCTCACTGAATATTTTCCAGGTCGCTATGAGAACAGAGTAGCCACAGCCATAGCGAGACGAGCTATGATGGATGTGATGTGCCGGGTGTTGAAATAATATTCCGGCCGAAATTGATCCCTGGCTCTACCTGCATATGGAGAGCCAACGATCACTTCACCCACTCTCGCCTCCGCTGAGCCGAGTATTTTTAGCATACGCACCAGCTGTGTTTTCCACATCCCATTCGCCCCCCAGTGGCCTCCTGTCCCAACCAGTCGCGAAGATCTGCAGCGGCGTGCCGAGGAGTAGCACCTTCAGTGTGTTGCGACAGACGGTGTTTGTGCGTGCGTGCGTGTCCCCACACGCTAGTCTTTGTTGGTGCGTTCTTTTGTGTCGGAGGCAGTAGCCCACCGCTATACAAAACTGGTGACCTGCGTTTGATCCCCTCCTCCTCCCCCCCCCCCAGCCACGGATAATGTCATTGGTGAGTCTTGTCTGAACCTGTCACGGACCTCCCCTAGGTCGGCTCGGCCACAAATGATCGCCTGGTGTGGTGTGGAAAAACATTTGAGACGGAGTTAATCTAGCGGAGGCCCGTGACAGGTTCAGATACCACGTGCCACTAATACCAGCCATGGCAGGGATCAAACCCAGGATGACAGGTTCATGGAGCAGTGTGCGAATCACTGTGCCACCG